ACCAACTATTTGGAACTGTTTGACTATCACTTCTTGCCACGAGTCGTTGCTATCCACACACCCCAACACCGAGATCCTCTACCTAGGGGATTTCAATGTACAGTACATCACAAAGAGTGGCTTGGCTCTGCAAGGGATGACTCAGGTGGAGTGGAGGCCAAGACTATATGAGAAAGACGGGAAAGCGTCTGCCTTTATCGATAAAAAAAAACGTGAGACAATGAGCGCCGATCAACGCCATCTGTTGGCAACGCGGCTTACTAAAAGCCCGGGGCGCCTGTGGTAAGCGTGTCCATGGTAACCAGCTGAGTGAGCTGATATTACCTTTACGTCCTTGCCTTGACATTCTTAATGTGTACACACACACACACGTACAATATCACACAGTAAATTAATTCTATATGATCAATGCTATATAGCAACGTGAAAGCTTGAAACACAAACTCAGGGTGATCTATTTTTGTACGTGTGCATACGGCACACGGGCGATGGTGACGCCCACTCATGGTTAAATGTCCCGGTCTTCGTGTAAACAAACAGGTGACGTACAGACGACCTGCTCCTTGCACACTAACGCCATCTGTTGATCCCGCGGATAATTATATGCTATGTGGCTTACGCGGTTTTCGCCTTTTTCTCCCGTCTTTCTTATATAGTCCTTAGTTAATGATCTGGAACAAATAATTAAACACCCTATTCCAGATTGGCGCGATCAACTCGCTAATTTTCTTGAACTTTGTTTTACCTCAAACCCCCCCACACAATTCATGCTCAATTTTTGCCCCCTTAGAGTTTCTGATCACAATCTTATTTACACTAAACCAACTTTGGCACTAACATAATCTTTTTCTCTTCTAATTTGTTTTTTCTTTTTACTCTTATTTTTTTGCTTCCTCCTCCCCGGGCCCCGTTGTGGGTCGATGCCCTGTGCCCAGGTGGGTTAATCCTCCTCGTAAGAAAAAGTGGAGACTGAGAAAAAGTGAGAGATTGAGTTAGATAAGTGAGAGATAATGAGAGATAAAAATAGTTAACTGTATTTTTATCTCTAATTGCCTCTCACTTAACTGTCTTATTATCTCTCACTTACCTCACAAATTCTCTCGCTTAACTGTCTTTATTTATTGGTATCTCTCACTTGCCTAGGTCAGTTTCTCTCACGTAACTGTTTATTTTTATCTCAATTAACTGTCTTTATCTCCTATTATATCTCACTTACCTAGCTCAGTCTCTCACTTAACTGTCAATATATCTTTCACTTACCTAGCTCAGTCTCTCACTTAACTGTCAATATATCTCTCACTTCCCTAGATCAGTCTCTCACTTAACTGTCAATATATCTCTCACTTACCTAGCTCAGTCTCTCACTTAACTGTCAATATATCTCTCACTTCCCTAGATCAGTCTCTCACTTAACTGTCAATATATCTCTCACTTCCCTAGATCAGTCTCTCACTTAACTGTCAATATATCTCTCACTTCCCTAGATCAGTCTCTCACTTAGCTGTCAATATATCTCTCACTTCCCTAGATCAGTCTCTCACTTAGCTGTCAATATATCTCTCACTTCCCTAGATCAGTCTCTCACTTAGCTGTCAATATATCTCACTTCCCTAGATCAGTCTCTCACTTAACTGTCAATATATCTCTCACTTCCCTAGATCAGTCTCTCACTTAGCTGTCAATATATCTCTCACTTCCCTAGATCAGTCTCTCACTTAGCTGTCAATATATCTCTCACTTACCTAGATCAGTCTCTCACTTAAGCGAGAGACTGATCTAGGTAAGAGAGAAAGAGAGAGAGAGAGAGAGATTGATAACAGGAGCTAACACGAGGGCGTAGTGAAGTGGAGTCTCATGGGAGGGAACCTAACACCCCCTCCCCACTCACCCAGCCCCTCCTCCCTACTCACCCAGCCCCTCCTCCCCACTCACCCAGCCCCTCCTCCCTCCTTCACCTCTCTCCCTCCTTCCCTCTTTCTCTCCCCCCCCCTTTTTCTTATAGGTGGACAAAAGGAAGAAGTTAAGAATGTGAGGAGGAGGAACAGGAGGTTTGGGGGGAGAATGAAGAGGAGGAGGAGGAAGAGGCGGTGGTTTAGTTGGAGAAAACAGAAGGGTCACCACCATCACCACCACCAGTGTCAACACCACCATACCACCATCATCACCTCAATACCACTACCATCACCACCACTATACCACCACCATACCACCACCACTACCATGTCAACACCACCATACCACCATCATCACCATGTCGAACACCACCATACTACCACCACCATGTGAACACCACCATACCACCACCACTATCATGTCAACACCACCATACCACCACCACCACCACCATGTCAACACCACCATACCACCACCATCCCCATGTTAACACCACCATACCACCACCACTACATGTCAACACCACCATACCACCATCATCACCATGTCCAGACACCATACTACCACCACCATGTGAACACCACCATACCACCACCACTATGCTATCCAGCACCACCATACCCACCACCATTATGTCAACACCACCATACCACCACCACCATGTCAACACCACCACCACCACACCATTATGTCAGCACCACCATACCACCACCACCATACCACCACCACCATGTTAACACCACCATACCACCACCACCATGTCAACACCACCATACCACCACCAATATCATGTCAACACCACCACCAATAACAACACCATCACCATCATGTCAGTATCACCACCAGCAGCAACACGGTGTCAACCACAAAAAGAGCACGGGACGCCATCACTCACTACCAGTTAACATATGATGAGTGGCCCTCACCGCTGACCCAAAACTGTACACTTCAACTGAGTGTGTGTGTGTGTGTGTGTGTGTTAGTGTTAGTATGTGTGTGTGTGTGTGTGTGTGTTGAGGAGAGGAAATTAGACCAGTTATTCTCCGAACTATAAATACTCGACTCATGTGGACTGTGAACGTATTTCCAACAGCGTAACTAATCATTATTGTTTTGTGTGTGAATTGAGTACGTTAGCTTAGCAACTGAGTCTTTGCACGTAATACATTATATGGTTTTGTTTGTTTTTGCCGTTTAGTGTTTTTATTTACCCAATGTTACCCGGGCGCTAGAAGGCACACCCTCTGTGGTTCCTCTATGATGGCGCACGCACCCGTTTATTATGGTGCTCACATTCACCCTCTTGAAATATATGTGAACTCTAGTTTAAAAATAGATTTGTCAATGAATTTGTTTCATTATTTGCATTTCCTTCAAGTAGGAATATGTTCAAGGCTAAAGACCCATGGAAGTCTCTCTCTCTCTCTCTCTCTCTCTCTCTCTCTCTCTCTCTCTCTCTCTCTCTCTCTCTCTCTCTCTCAGTCTACGGACTCGAGGTACCATATTTGAGTTCTCATAATTATCGTAATCTTGTTTTTGTTCAGTTGATTACTCTACAGTAAAAGAAATTTCAACGTGTCATCCATGTCGGAATAGCGATGTTAGTTTTACACGGTTTCCGCCTCTGTTATTATGTAATACTTTTATGAATGATCACTTTTAAACTAGCTCTTTGCAAAATAAATTGAATTTTAAACTATTTTCCCATTTTCAAAGTTGTAATGCAGTAAAAATTAAAATTAAAGTATTTAATGTACTCAACCAGACGCACGCTAATGATAGTAATTCCATCGACCCAAAGCGTCGGTCAAGTACTTACAGTATAGTACAGTACCGTAACCTGAGTTCTATTGTGAGATTTGTAACCAAAATTCTAACATAACATCTTGACACGCTGTTGACCAACCCTTTCAGGTTTGATTATTGAAATGTAATGTGTCGAGGTTATTGTTCATATGAATACTAATGTGTTACAAGGTTTGGTCAGAGGGATAAACTAGTGATTTTCAACCCGTGTCGTTCAAATTCACTGCCTCGACTATCTTGAATTCGACTCCCCATGAGACTTCCAACTTTAGATAGCATTTTTCAAGGCTCACGAATATTCTTTTTTTTTGTATTTTTGTTTTAGTCACATGAGGGAATTGATATTTACTACTGAAATAATTAATTCTTATTTTCTATTTATTTTTTATTTATTTTTTTATTTATTTTTTACTTTATAACTGTCTCCTTGCGAAATAAATCCAAGTGTCAACTGAATCACTAGAACTGTACAGTATAGTACAGTACTATGCATCTGGCAGCAGGTCTGTTTAAATGTGACCGACCATAACATTGTTTTGGTGTTGGTGCCGGTGAGTTTGACAGTCGCCCGGAAATGTTCAACACTTTATAGCAGCATTATCCGTATGAGTGACAAGTGACATGACCCAGTCAGCATTTAGCTGATAAAATCTGATAGGAACATCATTAGGCCTGAAGTCTTTTAAATTCATATATATAAATATAATAATTTTTTCTTTAAAACTGCATCACGGATACACCATCATCCCCCTGGAAATGGCAAAAATACCCATAATAATTTGTTAAAGTACATATAAATTCTCATGGGTTTTGTGTTTACAAGATATGGAACCTTTGGTAGCCATGCAGAAATCTTCCATAATATATTTGTTTTTCATTGTCTTGGTTTTTTCCACTGTTACAAATTAAATGATGCCTTTATGTAATTTGTCCTTTGTAAATGTGCGACCTGTGTACCAGCGAGGGTTACAAAGCCACACAGACAGGTCCTGCTAGTACAGTAATGCCCTTCCTGTTTTCGAAGATTTAATATCAAAGAGACCTACTGCCTGATCTGATAACAAGGTCCCACTTGTAGTGCTAGTTTGTGTGGAGCAAGTGTAGCAGAGAAATGTACTGTACTCGGTACAGTACATTTCTCTGCTACAGTGTACTGTATCTCACAAATGTATACTTTTTCTATCAGTCAGGCCTTCTTCCTCTGGGACCTGTGTTGTTTTCCCACTGCCTTCAACCATCCATTATTATTGTATTGTTTTTAATGTTACTCAAAACATGTACTTTTCCTACTCTACAGTTACGTGCAGAGATGAGGAGTTCAGGTGTAGTGATGGAATGAAATGTATACCTAAGATCTGGAGGTGTGACTACTCGCCAGACTGTCTCGATGCATCAGATGAACCACCAAATTGTCGTAAGTAGTTCCTCCAGAATTGTTCTTTCACCATTTTTTTCCTGCCCTATAGGTGCCATCGATTTAGACTCTAAATTTTAGAGTATCCTTTTCCGCAGCACTGTGTTCTTTGCCCCCTCAACTGTGGGTGTTCTTTCGTCCCCTATCATCCAGGGAAGGTGTGTGGGGGGGCTTAGGAATGATGAGGACACGGATTCTGACAGTGCCTCTTCAAATCATGTCACAAGAGTGTAGTACAAGCAAACACATACATGTAGTTATGCGATATTTTATTCTGATGAGCTTAAAGGTACTACCACTTGGGAAGATATTGGAAGCATAATGTGTTGTCTAATGGTCGACCCTGCTGCCATATGGCATCACGAAAATTGTGACCAAGTACAGTACCAGGTTGCTGATATGTCTTTCTGCCTATTTCCACACAGTTGCAAGGTCTCAATTGTTTCTCATAGTTTGACTGCACAGCGTACATATATCGTTGCTCACTATTTTTTCTCTTTAGTTCTTTATTATTATTATTATTATTACAGTGTTTGTATTATTATTATTGTTATTATTATTTAATTTTTATTATAAATTTTATTTACTATGAATTATTATTATTATTATTATTATTATTATTATTATTATTATTATTATAACAACAACAACATTTTCGCCCCCCAGGCCCCGATATGGGTCAGTAACCTGTACCCGGGTGGGCTAATCCCCTTAAAAAAAATGTTTGGGATGTATAGCACAGTAGCATACAGTACACTCACTCATTCTCATACAATGAGTGAGCTATTGGCAGATGAAACATACAGCCAGTTCTTGTGAGTCAAGTTTCTTATGTATATTTTCTTCATGTCAGCCGAAGCTCCGTGTGGGACGTTCCGGTGTAATGTAACGGGGAAGTGTCTGCCCCAGGGTTGGGTGTGCGACGGCGAGGCTGACTGTGGTGCTGGCGACACCTCCGATGAAGACAACCCTGCATGTGAGTGCAGTAAATCCAATGCATCCTAAAGCTCAACCTAGTGAAAAGTATTTTTCCAAGTGTTCCCCATAGTTTTTAAGCCTTAGAGTAATGACTCGCTTTCACTACGAAATAACTTGATAATAATGAACTACACAACTACACTTTTAAAGATTAAGATTATAAGCTGTCTCATAAATTATCCAACATTCCCAGGTAGCTGACGATTGTATATTTGTTATAAATGATAGTTTCTGCCAAGATGCAAACCTGTAAAGCTATTTCCGAATATTATAATCATTGAGCAAACATGCTTTAATTTGACATTACACACACACAGTCCAACCAAAAAGTAATTGAATAGATTTGCATTGCTCACGACTTGATCAATCTCGTACGCTAAATGTCAACTTCTGATACTGTGAGACATTTCCAAGGGTTTTGTTGGAGTGGGAAGGTGTAAGTAGTCACTCTGTATATCCCTCCCACTATTTCAAGAGGTAATTCATGTCACCACTTTTTTTAATTTTGCAATTTATTTTTCAGGTAAAAAGGGCAACACGTGCCCATTAAATTATTTTAGATGTAAAAATGATATCAACTGTATACTCTTAAAGCACCTCTGTGATGACTCCAAGGACTGTCCTGACTCTAGTGATGAAGGGGATTTTTGTTGTAAGTATCCTGAAGCTCCTTTTTTGTACCATATATAAATCAGTGAAATTACCAGTAATTCAGATTACTGTATTTGAATGTTCATGCTACTGGATAACTTTGACTCATTATTGATATTACATTCTGTAATGAAGATTAATATGGCATGGTATGTAAATATACAGTACAGTACTGTCCTGTATATAGAATCTGATAGTCAAATGTATACTAGGGGTATTTATATTGATACAAGTACAGTACATGTAGTTCCCAATGAATATTTAATATTTTTTTTTACTTCAAAATATATTTTTTCTGCAGATGATACTAGCTCGTGCCAGGCATTAGATTGCAAGTATGGTTGTAAGCCTACAGAAAAGGGACCACAGTGTTTCTGTTCTGAGGGCCAACAGCCTAATGGCACTTCTTGTGTTGGTAGGTATCTTTGTGATTTGTCTAATTTACAAACTCAAAAGGAATTTGGTTGTGTTGTAAAAAAAATACGTAGTAGCGATTGTACAAAGCTTTGGTTTTATATACTGTGTAATGGAATCAACTGTTTAATTGTTTTGATGCCTGGCTTGGTCAACTGTATAGCCAGACATGTCTTAGGGCTGAAAACCTAGGGATCTGAGGACCTCTGACATTGTTGACTGGATCTATTTAGAAATTTGATTAACCTTACTGTTTTGACCTTATCCAATTAATAAAAAGGACGTGCGAGGCAAAATTTGCCACTTAGACTAAATCAAAGAAGTCTGCACTGTAACATATATGACTTGACAATGAAGTGTTATTTCATAAGTCATACCATGTTCCTTATGATCATGTGTTGGTGTGATAAAGACTATGAGCCATCCATCATAAGTAGTAAAGTTCCTCCCATACTAGTCTTTCATTTTCAGGAAAGGATTATAATGGGAAGTATGTACAGTACATGTATAACCAATTTCATAATAACTTCGAGTTAACCACATCAGAGGTCCTAGAAACACTAGGCTCTTGGCCTGTAGTCCTGTCTGGCTTCACTAGTGTCAGCTTATCCTGGTTTGGCAGTAAAAGAGAAATCTAGGATTATTTCATATTTTAGTACAGTATGTATCATGTATAATTTCAAGAGTCAGAAGAGTAGTAAAAGAAAAATTGTCATCAGTTGTACAATGGTGAGGGATAACCATGTCACTGTTAATGTTAGATGGGGCTCGATACTAAATAGTGTACTGTTGAACACTTGTGTGGTAGGATGCTCTAATTAATGCTTCCATACCCAAGGGAGTAAAGTACAGTACCCTATGCCTCATTATTTTTTTTACAGAGCGTAGTTGAAAAATAAATCATTACCCTTCATTAAAGTATAGTACAGTATACAAATCAGTATACAGTGGGGTATGCTATAACGAATCTAATTGGTTCTAGAACCTTGTTCGTTATAGCATTCGTTTGTTATAGGATTAATCCGTTCCAGGCCCCCAAATACAACCACTTAACACTGAAAAATATAATATAAAATTGTAAAAATTGTAAAAAAGTGCATAAATATGCATCTAAACCCCTGAAATAAAGAATATCATTAATATTTGTAATAATAAAACAATAAATTAGAAAAAAAAAATTAAATTATGTTCGTTGTAGGAGTTTCGTTCGTTGTAGGAGTTTCGTTCGTTATAGCATTCTCAATTTTATAGGTAAAACCGTTTGTTATAGGAATATTCGTAGTAGGATCCGTTTGTTATAGCATACCCCACTGTATAAAGGAAGAGATGTAGATAACACCCTGAACTCTCTTTATTGTTATTGTGAGTTGAAGAAATTGATTATAATTATAAAGAGAAAGGTCCTAATTCTACTTTTTTCTCTCATCTTTCTCTGTGAAGATGAAACACTTTATATCCCAACATATAGAACAACACAGTCACCATTGCAAGGTTTGTTGTGGCCTCTGTGGCTTTCTGATATTTATTGCATCATGATAGCTCTGAAAATATATGCATCATAACTGCATGTGTGTGTGTGTGTGTGTGTTTAATTTTATGTAGCAGTACAGTATAGTTCATTATCCTTTCATTTTAACCTGCAATAGAATTTTCTTTGTAATATATGATAGGTATAGTTGTGAGTGTATTGGGATGACTCAAAGGACATACGTAGGTAGTGATAATCACTGACTGTATTTTGATCATGATTTTATATAAACTTGAAACCTTAAGAAGATTAAAGAAAGCATATAAAAAATGGCGTTCGCTATTAAAAGGTTATTTTGTAGAGTACTGTACGTATTCATTAAGTATTTGCCGTATGCTACCAGTACAGTATTGAGTACTGTACTATAATTTTGGGGAAACTACTTTTAGGTGATAGAATTTGTTTAAAGGGTAGAAGATAGATTCTTATAAATTGACATGAGATAAAAATACTGTACGTACATTATTTGCAACGTTAATTGTTAAATAACTACAGTACAGTACCGGTAAATGAAAATAAGGAAAAGAATACCTTAAAGAAAAAAAAGTCAAATTATTGCTGAAACAGATTGAAAAATAAATTATTGGATATCTTTAAGATGCAAAATTAGACAATTCTACATTTATATTCCAGAGATAAAAGGAGAGGCCAAGGGAAGTAGAGAGGAAATGAGAAATATATTAGGTTAGGGGGTCCTGGTTGCCCATCTGTTGTGGCCAGCCTGTTAGGGGGAAGTACACTGTACCTGGACTGTTCTGTACCATAGAGGAGTGAGGGATATAAGCAGAAAATAAAAAAAGCATGACCATTACGAAGATATTTTGTCCATTCTCATTTTTTATATCACTTTTGCTAAAATAAATACGGTAGGATTTGGTACAAATTTAAGAGAGGGGTAAAACAAGTTAGCTCCTCAGCTTTTAGGGAAAATTATCATTATATTTCATCTGAAGCAATTTTTTTATTCCGAAGGTTTTGTAAAAAAAAATATAACAGATTTGTATAGGTAATCCATTTAACTAACATTTATAAATATATTGAAACTGATAAGTTAATGTTAGGATAAGTGTGACAAGATAAAGATACAAATGATGGGAATGAGACAGAGAGGAATATTGGAGTAAGACCAAGATAAGAATATTGAAACGGGATTAAGACTAGGAAAACAAGAATGATGGGTTGAAGATGAAGATAGTTAGTAGTAGTTGGTAGATTAACCCATAGCTATACTGTATTTTAATATAAGGAGTTGGATAAGTCACTGAGAAACTATACAGTACAGATTTCAGGTTAGTTTTGTTGTAGAAGTACTGTTTAGACTAATTGTATATACCAGTACTCTTCATGTATGGTGTACTATACAGTATATGAAGGTGCATTATATGGAGTAAAACAAATGAGGTCACATAAGTCTAGTATAATAAAATATTTAGGATACAGTATCTTGCATGGATCACTTGGTTTTACAGTACAGCCACTCCTCGACTTACGACGGGGTTAGGGACCCAAATCCAGGTCGTAATTTGAATTGGTCGTAAGTAAAAAATGCGAAGATAATACATAGAAAATCTAAAATGGATGTCTCTTTTTCTTCTCAGCACCACAAAACTCTCACTTTTAAGCATGCCAGCCATTTTAAAGGGAATTACAAACGAAAATTTTGTCAGTACGCAGCGCAATCACTAACGTCGGGACTCGAAAATACGTAATTTGAAATTTTTTTGGTACGATTGGGGCGGTCGTATGTCCTGGTGGTTGTAAGTCAAGTAAGTCGTAACTCGAGGAGTAGCTGTATACGGTATATATATATATGTGTGTGTGTATATATATATATATATATATATATATATATATATATATATATATATATATATATATATATAATGTGGATATGGTTTATAACATGGGTAACTACAGTACCTGTATTAAAATTAATTTGGAGATATTGTACTGTACTGTATTAGTAGGTATCCATAGATATAGAGGAAAAGATCTCACCCTGTAGTTAATATAGTACATTAGTGACATGGTAACTGATAATGTGTATGAAGTATGTTTAGGTGTTCTACATTTCTGGTCAGACTCAAGGAAAACATAAGACCATTTGTATAAAGACTCCACCAATGACTACTGTTCCTAGAATTTTGCTTCTTTAAATCATCTTAAAATATTTATTGATTGACTTTGCATATCTAATTAAAGATACTATTTGTGTCTTTTGTATTAAAACGTGTCAATTTGTTAGTTCATCACACAGATAAATGGAAGATATGCTTATATTCTGCCCTGGATTTGTAAATCCCTGAGAGGGATTGTATGTTCTGTACCAGTGCATCAGTGGAAAAACTGTTATTTACTCAATATATTTTTTTAAACCAAAGTAAGTTAATACACACAAAAAAAATGGTTTCAGGAGTAATGTAGTGTTGTGTTTTGATTTTATATTGAAGACTTTGTTTTGATATTATATGTTCAGTTTTCTCCCAGTCCTATATCCTAACTTCCCACTTGTTTGCAGATGCTAATGAGTGTCAGGTGGAGGGGTCATGTGACCAGCTCTGTACCAACTTGGAGAATGGCTTTGAGTGTGGATGTACGGAAGGCTATAAGTTAGAAGGAAAATCCAACTGTAAAGCTGTGAACAGTAAGTAAACTATGCTATAATTACATATTTTATGTTCTTTTAGGCAATAATTTACTACTACTGAAGTATTGTTTTGAAAAAAGTTGTTTATTGTCTCCTTATTAGAATGAATAGGGTGTCAACACTGATTTTTTCATTATGTAATCTAATTTTTTTAATAAACTTGAGGAAATGTTCCTTTGCACTGCTTCTATTTTTTTCAAACATCTTAAGAAGAATATAATGTTCATGATATATCATGTAGTATTTTAAAACAGTATTTTGTAAGTCAGTTGTAAAAAAAAAATATTATTATATTATTGTAATAATTTATGTTGGAGATTAAAGAGCATTTAATTGGGTTGCCACCTTAAGGTGTATCTTATGGTCTCATATTCTCAAAGAAGATAAAGAGGAAAGGGATAAACTAATATTTATTTGTATTGCTTATACATTTTCTCTCATGCCATTACTCTTTTGGTTTTGGTGTTTTTAATATCAGTTGTTTTCTAGGTCCTCCAGACCAACCAGCAACTCTTCTATATGCAAGCAACTCAGGGCTGGCCCGACTGTACCTGAATGGCTCTGTTGTACCAGGAAATACTCATCTCAGTTCACAGTATGCTGTTACTGTTGACTTTGACCACCGCAATAACTCTAGTATGTCACAGTGTCAAGTAGATTTTTTGTACAAAGTAAAATATATGAAATAAGTTAACAGTACCTGTTATTTTTTTACAGAGTATATTTTAATTATCTTTTCTTAAGTTGAATGTGCTTAAGCTAAGTACAGTACCCCATCTTATGTTGTGATTATGTGCATTATATTTTGCTCTTTTGCAAGATAGATTGAATATGGAACATTTATTTAAGTCATGGCTAGGCACCACTAAAGCCACTGGAGCCACACTGAACATACTCTACAGAATAAATTCCACATCAGCCCTCTAGCATCACTGCACCCACTCACACTCACCCAAAGTAAAAACACTTAGGTGTGCACTTTAACCACCACTGCCATAGCCTGGGAAGAGTGCGATGACACTGATCACCCCTCATCATGAGGTGTTAGCTACAGTAATTAACCCAAATTACAGGTGAAGTTTGTCACCACTGTCACAGATTTCATATTCTTAGAACATAATCCAGTCTTTAACATACTATTAGGGTCCATAAATACCTTAGCTGGATGGTTATATCCTAACAATTGTCAGAACATATCCTGATAACCACAATGTTATTGGGGTTTACTGTACATTGCAGATAATGTAATAGAAATAATATAAAGTTCATGCTACACTTTTCCAACTTGAGCTTGATTGTCTTAGAGAAGTTCTGCAGCTAGCTAATTCACATTGCTGTACTTTTTTTTTTTGTTAACCCTTACGCCCCGGGCTAGAGTGTCTGTGCTTGTACCCCCCCGCCGAGAAAAATAATTTTTAACCTTTATAACTGATAAAACAATCAAAAAGAAGTAAGAAAAACTATTTATTGTTCCTCTAGAAACTTCCGTGGCACCTCAGTGATGAGGGAAATAAGGGGACAGCTCGTTTTGGACGGCGAGCACTCTTGGTCACTTCCTCACTTAGCTATCATTTTTCTGCTTGCCTTTGTGTCCGAAAGGGCCAGTAATGCATATATTTACTGATAATAATACTTATTTTCTCTAAATAATTCCTTTAGAATTTATTTTATTTGCATTACCTTTCATAAAAAGTGCTCGGCGACACACACGCAGTCTGTCGCCAGGTTGTCTGGCTGTCTTTGTGTGATAGGGAGAGCAAGTAATTCTTAGAAATAATTATCGGAATAATAATTTCACGAATAAATGCATTTATAACATAATCATAGCATTATTTTCTAGTAATACTACGCTACAATTACACTACTTTTAGTAATCTTACTTTGATGCAACATGATAAAATGGACAAACAAAGGAAGGTACTTACCAAGAAGCTTCCCTCTGACTGCACCAAGGAGGAGGAGAGGTGGTGGTGATAGGTGGTGGTGTTGGTGCTACCCTGACACCTTGTAGTGCTTGTGGGTAGGGGCAAGTGAATGCGTACAACTGTGTACCTTCTATACAAATATGTCACTATGTACTTGGCCAGGGCAGGAGTGGTATAAAAATTTTCTGTGTAGAGGATGTGATTCCCTGCAAAGTAGTGGTCCATAAGTTTTTGGACAACAGCTCCAGAGAAACCATGTGGGTCATCCTTGGGTATGTTTACGTTACTTGTTGTGTAAACTACGAGATCTAAGACATACCCAGTTCTGCAGTCACACAGCACGAAGAACTTTATCCCAAACTGATGTCGTTTGGAGGGAGTGTATTGTCTAAAAACAACATCCTCTGAAAAGCACCAGAGACTCGTCCACCACAACATTCTGGAAGGGTTTGAAGAACTTCAGGAATCGTTCTTTCAGCATCGTAAAAACTGTCCTTATTTTCCAGAGTCGGTCACCAGCCACAGGGTTGTTGTTGTCTACGAAGTGTAGATTACACAGGATGGAGGCAAACTGGTCTCTTGACATGAATTTAGAAAACAATGGAGTTGTTGTGATGTCATCATGAGACATTACTCCTAAAGTACGTGTGTTTTCACATGTGCCATTAGCATTAGTAATGCAAAAAGCACATATAGTTCGGACACAACATCAGTCCAGCGTCGCATGTCTGGCGAAGGGCTAGGTCCGGGGTTAGCATCACACGTGTACTGATAAAATATATTTGTTTCAGTATACAGTAAGACCATGAATGCACCATCAAAGAAGGCACAAAAGTAGTCCATCTCACTTGATTCCTCTGTACAAGGAAATTCAGGAGTAATTCCACCTGATGATCGTCTGAAATCAGGGATGTCAGGCTGGAAATTAGTGCCATCAGATCAAATTAACTCATCCATTGTCCCTTCTCTGGGCCGGGAGCGCGTGGCGGGCATACGCCGTCCTGACTGTGCCTCGCTGCCAGCCTCATCATCACCACTTGTCCCAACAACATCGTCTAATTCGACGCTATCCTCAGGATCACTAGGCATATAATCACTGCCTTCATCACCACTTTCACCCGAATCACGCACTACAGCACTCACACCAGATAGTTCTGTCCGTATTTCGCTATCATCCAGCCTGCGGCAACGACGCTTGATCGGGGTGGAAGATGCTGGCGAGCGAGGGGTTGAGAGGGGACTCTCCATGACGACAGGGGAATGGGTACTGACCGTGCTGAGCCCACCCACGCTCCCCTCCATGTACCATGACAGACAAATACCGTAGTCATGCTGGAACCTCTTAACCCGTGATGGGCATTCAAACAGCGGCGGGAAAAGGCCCGCGTTCTGGAACATCACCTGGGGCTCACCGGTTGGGTGTTCTGGAACGTCAACTGGGGCATAAGGGTTAAAAAGAAATTTGTTGTGTAAAATTGTCCTCTTGTATCAAGTTCCTCCCAAAATTGTATCCATTATAAACTCACCTATTCTACCTCTGCTCTTTTGTTGACTCCCATAACTTTACATTACAGTGATCCCTCGGTTAACGAACGCCTCGGTTAACGAAATTTCAGCTAACGAATTACCTTCCATAAGAATCTTCAATTGGGTTAACGAACAAAAATTCGGTTAACGAAATTCTTACGAAATCATGTCAACATGTTTTCGCTTGCTCACCAGCTGGAATATTAGTCCGCCAATACAGTAATCGGTTCTAGGGCTTAAATTCGTTCCCATTTGAGTAAATATCAAGAAGGTTGTACTATTCAATAATTTTCCAAGTTTTATATTCAAATTTTTTGTCATTTTAACACTTATTTAACATAATTGGAGTACAGGAAAATAGTTTTTGGTGAGCCAATCAGCCTCTTGACTCATCCACCAAGGCATTAGTTTGTATCTCTGGTCAGTGGAGGTAACATCTTGCTTGTGGCTCTCTTGAACATAAACTATTTTTACATTTTTATGGTACAATTATTGGTCATTCTGAAATTTATTTAACATATTGACAATATATAGTGCAGTGCAGTGTTGATTTAAAGAAAATAATCTTTAATTACACCTAGTGAACTTAAAATTTTATGGGTGAAATGACGGCATGAAGCATGAGGTGATTTCTCTTTCACTTCCTTCTCTTCTCCCTTCTCCTCCACCCCCACTTCTAATTCCCATCATTATCATCAACCAGGAACCTTCTACATACACACCTCAAAGTAAGTGTACTTTACTGCATTTATTTTTACTTTTTATGTAATTTTCGGTGAGCTGGAACCAATTACCCAAAATCCCATTGAAACAATGGTTTCGGTTAACGAAATTTTTGGTTAACGAACGACCTTCTGGAACGAATTGTGTTCGTTAACCGAGGGACCACTGTATTTGTAACAACATTCATTTGGGTAAAAATATATACTAATTGCTTCTGTCATTCCTTTTACAGTTTCTTATAATTGATGATATGTTTAATTGTTTTTTGTTTTTTTGTACACAGTATGTTGGGTAAGTTCCAACAATCCATGGTCAGTCTTCCAATGTGCTTCAACGGACAATTTTGATGATGTATGGACCATACCACCGCCTACTCAGAATGGCCTCCTATGTAAGTACAGTACTGTACTATTACTACTAGAGAGGGAGCTGAATTCTATCCTATACCTTTGCCTTTGATTGTAAATTAACCCTTACACAACTCATCTTGGGAAGGCCAAGAAGTTGAAAGGATGGGGTTAGGGAAATATTACCTATGAGGGATGGATCTCCAGGAAACAGCAGTGTGTAAATGAGAGGTGACCATAACAGTCAGTGGCTTATGGAATTGTTACAACATTTAGAGTGAATGGATGAAGGTAATTGAAAGGAGAGTGTGTTTTTTTGCTCCTGATTCAAGCCATCCTGCTACCGAGCATAAAAGAGTGAAATTTTTTTTAACATTAACAGTTGAGGTTAATTGTCTTTCTGACAACATTTTCCTTTCATGTTGGGTCACAGTCTGGTTTTGTGAGGTTAGAAGTTCAGGTATTACAAAGATAAATATTTCCACTTATATACTTTTTTTTTTCAGATGTCCATGATATTGCCCGAGATTGGGTAACTGGGAACTGGTACATACTTGATAGAAGAGAAATGATATTCATGTGTAATGCAACTATGAAAGTGTGCATCACCCTGATGGATGTAGTGCTCAATGAACCAAGAGGTATTGCTCTTGACCCCAGCACAGGGTAAGAATTTTCTTTATTTATAAAGTTAACTGGAACTGATTGTTCTTGTACTACAGTATTGTATCTTCTGTTAATTACCTTGTAAAGCCATAATATGTTTTCTTACAAATTGTCCAAAATGTATATGGCATTTGCATATACAATGAGTTTTATATTTATTCAGTGAAACTTATTTTTTATTAATGGTACTTGAATACTTCTGCAGATACATGTTCTTCTCTAACTGGGGTACAACAGAACCTAAATTGGAACGAGCGCTGATGGACGGAAACCAGAGACAAGCAATTGTGATAACCAAAATTGTATACCCCTTTGGTGTTACTCTTGATTACCCCAATAAACATGTATATTGGGTTGATGGCTACCTGAGTCACGTTGAAAGGGTTGATTACAGTGGGGAGAACCGACGAATCATTATCAAGTTGAAAACGGTAAAGTGTTCTGTGTATTACTATTGTAGTATGCAGATTGTTGACAGCTTGTTTTTGAATAATTGCAAATAAAATATTAGAAAGGCTCTTAAAATACTTGATTGTGGTGTATGAAATGTGAGAAATGTCATAATGAAATACATGTACTCTGAATTTCAGGATGAAAGACCATATGGGATTTCACTGTTTGAGAATTTTCTATATGTGACGAGTTGGAAAGATAACAGCATAAAGCAGATCAACAGGTTCAGTCGCCACTACATCTCAACGTTCCACACAAACTTGACAGAGCCAATGCATGTCCATGTCTTCCATCGGCAAAGACAACCTCATGGTTTGTTTTTTTATTTTATTCATAAACGTTTTAGCCTGTTATTTCAGCATTTTTTCCCAGGATACACTGAGTAGAATTTGACTATAACCATCTTGGTCAATGGTGGGGTTAAAAAGGTCTCAATTAATGTAGGTTGACGGGTTTTGGCACTTGTGGTTTCTAGGAGCTACTACAGTTTCTTGGTTAGGTTGCAGTTAACAGGTACAAGGTCCAGTTTCTCTCATACACTAGAGTAGGTTTTAGATCATTTTTGTGTAGTTGCTCTCATTATGTATATGTCAGCCATCCATGTATTTGTTTATTATTATATATTTTTTTTATTACCTCCTATATAATTGTTGTATGTACAGTCACCCAAGAAAGTCCTGTCGCCTCTCATCCTGAACCACGAACCCCGAGATTCAGACTCGTGAACCCGAAGCAGTAGACACTGATAATTTATTCTGTCCATAAATGCTTCGGATTCAAGAGTCTGAATCTCGGGGTTCGTGGTTCAGGGTGAAAGGCGACATGATTTTTTTGGGTGACTATACCTGTATTGTGTTTATTTGGTAACTTTTACTTTTTTTTATTTTTTAGTTGACCATCCGTGTGGTATCCATAATGGAGGGTGTCAGCACATCTGTATTCCTCTATGGAAGGATGGCCAGCCAGTAACTGCCTGTCATTGTCAACCTGGACACATACTTGGCCCTGGTGGCTCCTGTGTAGGTAATGTATTTTAAAAAAAAAGTATTTTCTTTATATGAAATGAAGGTTCTGTATAAGTAATCATCATCATTACGATTTTACAAAAATTTTCCCCGCTTGAGTGGGTTAACTGTGATTACATTATAGCATATCTTCACGCTTCACGGTCTCTTGCATCCTCTCTCGTCAACTTCTTATCTCTGAGGTAATTTTTCACAACCATTCGCCATGTCATTCTAGGCATACCTCTAACTCTCCTTCCCTTTCCATTAAAACTCGTGCTTCTCTTAACCCAGTTGATCTCACAGTCTTCAACCAATCTGCTGGAACATTCCACTCCATCATAATTTTATTAGTTGATTTGGTCACCATCTTCTAGGGCTCTTAACATTTCACCTTTGCTTTTATGAATTTTTTCTTGTGTATCATTATTGACATTGTTTAGAAGTGGTATATTAATTGGATTAAATATATTCTTCTTGTAAAGTTATCATGACAGTTGATTTTTGTGAATTTAATTCTCTTTTTTCTTCATATCTCAATATATATAGATAGATAAAGATCATGTATTACAACAGGTTTTTCTTTATATGAAATATGTTCTACACAGGTCAGATTTTGTAAACATTTTAGGTTAAATTATTTATTTTGTTCTCAACCCTTTGTACAGCTCGGGTGTCTCTTAGCTGAATAAAATCATGTGGCATAAGCCAGAATATAATATATAAGTGCACTACTGCCCTACAAAGGGTTAATCCCTAGTGTATGGGCTCCCCTCTGAGTTGAATAAAATTGTCTGGCATGTGGCAAATAAAATATTAACAATGGGTTCCCCATAGTGAAGGGGTTAGTAGAGATAGTCTATGTACTAACCCCTGAATAAAATCATCTGGCATTAGACAAATAGAATATTAAGAGTAAGATCCCCATAATCAAAGGGTTAATACTGTTTTGTAGAAGTATTAAATATTTGGGAGGTGAAATCCCCACTCTTATCATTCAGTGAGAGTTTGGAGATGAACTTAAGAGTTATGCTATACAAGAAGATGGGGAGAGATTGATTAGAAAATGAGCAATTTGATGAAAACACAATGTGGAAGAGTACTAACAGAGTTAGCGAGGTTGTTAATGGGCTATAATACTTACAATATTCATGTATCCATGTTTTATTTTATTACATGTTATCTCTGGTTTGCAGCACATGAGCACGAAGCCTTCTTAATCTATGCAAAAGGTCGCCCAGGAATGATCAAGGGTGTGGCATTAGATGAAGTTGGGACATCAGAAGTCATGGTGCCCATCACATCCCTCACTCGACCAACAACTCTTGACTATGATGTTCGTTCACAGTTTATATACTATGCTGATATTCAGAGGTAATCTTTAATCTTCATCTTATCATTATAAATAATTAACTATACAGTAAACCCTTGTTATACGCAAGTTTGCGATTCGCGGTTTCGACTATTCACGGTAAGCAGATAGTAGCTAGCTTACGAGCCTCTCCCGCAGAGCAACGAGTCATCCCCATGCGCCCGCAGCATCTCCTTCTCCCTTGTTTGCGCTCAACCATTGCTTGTGACACAGCATCTCTTGTGTTGTATTCAAAACTTGAGTGTTTTTTTGTGAAATGGCCCCTAAAAGACTGCCTAGTGTCGGTGCTAGTAGAGTGAAACGTAAAAGGCAGAAGCCAGTGATGATCCTGACAAAGAAAGTTGAACTATTAGATAAGTTAAAAGAGGGGATGAGTGTTGCTGCAGCTGGTCGGTTGTTTGGTATAGGTATACAGTAGTGCACTAAGGTAGTATAAGTTGCTATTTGTGGTTTTGCCTGTTTGCGCCATTCCTTGGAATCTAACCCTCACGAATAGCAAGGGTTTGCTGTATACCTGTACAGTAATAAGATATTTAAGCATACTACAGTAGTACCCCAATTTACGCAGTCAATTGAACCCACAGGGTACCGCGGAAAGTGAAAACCGCGTAAAGTGAACAACAGAACATATGGGATTAATTCCAATAGAGACTGGCCCGACCCCCAAACTCCACTTTTTCCGACACAATACCTATGTTGTAGTAAAAATAACATCTAAATTTTATGATGGTATGCTCACACAATTAATATTTAAGAGAAATACAGTCGCCAGGTTAATGTCCATTCAAATAATGGACTCAAATCCCCCCCCCCCCCTCTTCCCAGCTCACTAGCTCCTACCTCTCTGAGAAATGTTGGGTGAAAACACTAGATTTTAACGTTTAGTAATAAATAATACCTCAGACTAAAGTTAGGATAATATAATTGACATTTCTGGATTCCTTGCAGGTCAGGGAATATTTTGAATGTAAACTTCATATATTTTGCACAAAAGATAAAATATTTGCTTTGTGTAAACCAAATTATTACATTAGATCTAAAATTTGTATGTCTAATGCAAAATCCATGATGTTTATATTCAAAATGATCATCATATTGTAAGAATTCCAGCAATGTAAATTATATTCTGGTCGAGTAATTTGTATGAATTTTATGAGCTAAAACAAATATCTTCAGTTAAAAAAAAAAAAGAAATATTCTTCACGACACTATCTGTCAATCAAAGTATTGCCTCTGCCCTAGCTGGGTCGGTCCCAACCCTCCCCCCACCCCCCACCTTCCCTCCCTACCAGAGAAGCTTTGGGAGAAAATAGTATATTTACATTTTTAGTAATAAATAATAACTCAGACTAAAGTTAGGATAATATAATTGACATTTCTGGATTCCTTGCAGGTCAGGGAATATTTTGAATGTAAACTTCATATATTCTGCACAAAGGATAAAATATTTGCTTTGTGTAAACCAAATTATTACATTAGATCTAAAATTTGTATGTCTAATGCAAAATCCATGATGTTTATATTCAAAATGATCATCATATTGTAAGAATTCCAGCAATGTAAATTATATTCTGGCCGGGTAATTTGTATGAATTTTATGAGCTAAAAAAAAAAAAAAAAAAAAAAAAAAATTATACTTCACTGCGTATATGAGTAGATGCACCGCGAAAGTTAAAGTCCGGTTCTGGCAAGGTACAGCGGAAAGTGAAACCGAAACCGTGTAAAGCGGGGTAATACTGTATATATATTTTTCATTTATTTAAATATAAGTTATCACCTTTTAAATTAAACCTATTCTGGCTATTTCCCTTCAGCTAGGCAGTCTGTTTCATGGGTTAATCTGTTATACATCTTTTTGGAGACGTGGCAACACACTCGAGGTGCCTTAGGCATTTCGGATATAGGTTTGTCAGTACGATCTTGGGTCGACAATGGCTGATAAAGACGTATATCTTCCACTTGTGGGATGCTCCCCGCACAGAAGGAAATTGACATAATTATCTTTTATTTGGAGATGAGCATGACTTCTCCTGCTTAGTGATAGTGATAACAGTGAATCTGGTGTCTTTCCTCAAGATTTGACCAGTGAATCTAATGAATCTAATGAATTCACATGAAGCATTTTCAGTGCTTCATGTCTCACCAATAATGTAAGTTACATTATTTTTCCCCTCCATGAACTCAGGATTTTATTTTCTTTAAGATGATAAGACTCAAATATTTATACCCTGTAAAGTACAGTATACCGTATACATTTAGCATTCACCTGGTGAGTGGTATGACTGAAAGTTGAAATCACCATCCACAAAGGGTTATCTTGAAGTTGTGACCCCGAGTGGGATGGTCACCTGTTTGTTCCAGATATGAACATTCAACAGAAGAATATCCTCTGAGGTGTTTATAAACTTCAGTTAAGTCACCCCTACCTGGTAGCTCTCTTTTTGGACATTCTCAATCAACTGACAGTCTCTAACATATTTGAGGGACCAGACAGGCTGACAGTACAGTACAGTACAGTATTCTAAACTGGCACGTATTGTAGCACCTTACATTTAGAAGAACTTTATGAGGGATGGGCCATCTTGGTACTGTATATGAATGACCGTCCTATAAGCTCTACTACTTTATTCACCTTTATGGTGTTCCTGGCTGTACAGTATGTATATGTCTTGTAAATGCAGAGGTGTGTAAAGATTCTATGTGACTTACAAAACTTCAACACTAGGAAGTGCACTCAATATGGACATGTAATTTTTATTTAAAAATTTTCAGATTCGTGATTGAGCGACAGAGTATAGATGGGATAAAGAGGGAGCCAGTTGTAACGTCTGCGGTGTTGAATGTAGAGGGTCTGGCTGTTGACTGGATGGGGCGTAACATCTACTGGACTGATGAGGTAGATTTTCTTTGGCAAAATTGTTATACAGTTTTGTGAATATCTTTACAGTATTGGGAACATATTGTAAACATTTTCAGCACTTATCGCTGAATAATTTGTGGAATGGGTTTTTAATCTGTTTTCCAGTAGCCCTGACTATCACTAAATAATTCTCCTTTAGCAGTTAGATTTTTCTATTTATTTTGTTTAGAAAACATTATAATGACACTTTGTACCACATTGGAATTGCAGATTTTTATTTCAACACAAGCTACCAATCCCTCTAATTGCAGTCAGAGAAAGTTCATTTGATTGGAGAAAATTGAACAAGTTTGGTATTATGTATAACATAGTACAGCATGTGAACTAATATTTTTTTTCATTAACTCTCTCTGCAACAAGTTTTAAATTTTCTGCTGTGCCAAGGAAAGGAATCTTTTATATTTAGAAAAATAATATTTTTTTTTACACTTTTTAGATTTGTAAAATACAGTATGTCTCAAATACTCAAAAACATCTACATGTTAAAGAAGTTCAACAAGTGTGGTTGTTTAGTTGAAGGAATAACACTGTAATTTGTTAGAGTATTAATCTTTCCTAAGATCATCATTTTTCACCCATAAATTGTCCTCACAGGGCGTGTCGTCTATATTTGTTTGTTCAATGAAGAACCCAGAGAAGCGTAAGATGCTCCTTCATGGAAACCTGACCAATGCGAGAGCAATAGTCTTGAACCCTGGTGAAGGCTATATGTACTGGACAGTGTGGCATTTCATTATGGGAAGTGGCATAGGTGGCGGCTTTGGCTTGATAGAGCGAGCATGGATGGATGGAACACATAGAGAACCATTTGTAACACAAGATCTTCAGTGGCCCAATGGATTAACAATTGACTTTAAGAAGCGGCATTTGTACTGGTGTGATGGATTTTATAATAAGATTGAAAGAATTGGTCTAGATGGGAGAATTCGTAAGGTGAGTTTCAGTTATGGATCTTATGTAGTTTATGTTCTGTTATTCTCTTTCTTTTTTCATTTTGCCACATAATGGTTATAGTTTTTGTTTCTGTTTCTATATCTGACCATATGGTATGTCTGTAATGATATTTACAGCATTAGATCTCATGTAATCTCAGATCACCCTCCAGTCTACTACAGTATTACATTTCATATATTAGCTGTGAATAACTTTATGTTATGTTAATTTACTTATAGGTGATGCTGAGTGGAGATGTTTTAAGTCATCCATACGGCTTAGCTTACTATAATGGCTACATCTATTGGTCGGAGTTCCAGAATGGTACAATAAAGCGTGTGAACCTTGATAGCGAGGAAACCCCCAAGGAACTGCGCATGGAAAATCCTTACATCTTTGATTTGAAAGTTTTCTCTAACACTAGTCAAAGTGGTAAGGCTTTGAGAGTCAGTTTTGATCATGAAATTTTATGGAAACAAAAAGAAACTTGTAATTGCCTTATCTGTTAGTGTATCACTTCCAGCCATGACTTTTATCCAGTACTTCGTGTGATACCATCTGTGCTCTGAATTATGTTACTGTATTTTTGCTATACAGTAATGCATTGCTATACTGAATTAATTATTGCATGGAACAGCAGAAACTCCAGTATAATAAAGATTATGCCATCTCCTCCATTGCCTAGTATGGCATAACCTCAATCTATATTGAGCAGACTCTTGTTCCAGAATGTGAAGATGCCAAATCCAAATTTTATGGTTTTATTAAAAATACACCCTCATCATCATCATCATCATTATCATCATCATCATAGCTGTTTTATGACCATATTGTGACTGAATACAGATATTATATTTCTTTAAAAAATTTTAAGACCTGCTTTGAGTTTGCCATTTGACATGCAGTACAGTATATAGTTAAATATTTAATGATTTCACAAACAAAGGATGTAAATTATTTCTGTCTACAGATACTAATGCGTGCACTACTGGAGCCCTTCAGTGTATTGACCTCTGTCTTGCTACACCTAATGGCCCCATCTGTGCTTGTGCCACTGGATATGAGCCAGACATTCAGCAGACAAACCTGTGCAACCCTATTACTAATTTTACCCAGGTATTACTCATACAAACTGGAGATGCTCTGAAGAATATTAATATTCCACTGTTTAAATCATTGGCTAAATATTCATGTTTTTGTTAGTGGGCATTACAGCACTTGGTGTAGCATGTTATAACCTAGACTATATTAACTTATTGTCCTATAGATCCCCATGTTATAAATTGAAATATACAGTAGTACTTTCCATGCAAAAGTTTTTCAACCTTAAAACTCGTTAGATAAATATTCACTAATTTATATACACATGATAACTTAAATACAATACCTGTACTGAAGTAACACACTTCAGAGATGATTGAAGAGGCATCATATTGAGGTTTAGTAGTGCAATGGGTTGGATTTGGGGAACCAGCAGGAAGGAGAAAGCATGAGAAAGGCTGCAAGTTGTAAATCCTCATGATTTTCCAAACTGCATAATAACGAACCGTGGATTTCATTATGCGAACGTATTCCCATATTTAGCAACTGTGTTATTACAGTACAAAATTATGTTCAGCTAGGGATACCAGTATGTAGAATATGGTCTGTAGTGCAGTATATCTTGACTTTCAGCCGAGCTTGTGTAGTGACGGTCAGTTCCAGTGTAAGAAGAACTTAAGGTGCATTGATGAACGATACCTATGTGATGGGGACAATGACTGTCTGGACAACAGCGATGAGGACACATTACCTGGAGGAATTTGTGGTACGGTATAGTGATGAAGCTTTTTCTTCTGTTCTCCATTAATTGTCTAAGAATAATAAGTACCAGTTATATACACTGTAATACTCGAACATGACATAATTTTTATTGGACCATAAATTGTCTTTCATTATGATGGGGATGTTGATGCATGATAACCTGTAGTTGCCAGGTGAAAAATGTTACTTTGGTATAGTATAGTGTAATGGTATTTACTATAGGAAGATAATGGTATACCTTGAGAACTCTGAAAGAAACTCCAGACTGGCTCTCCTCCCCATCCCTGTTTACTGACCACAAGTATCAGTTGCATTTCTGAAATTCAATGTTTTGGCTTCTACAAATTAAAACTGTGAAAATAAAAAGGAAAGGCATTCTAAAAGTGAATATCTTATCCTTGAATTCTTTAGGCTTCCAATTTATTTTCTTGTCTCTTTTGTGGATTTATTGTGAGGGTAAATATGCTCATTTGATGATAAATTTTTACTGGTAAACCTCCAGTGATCTGTTATATTCTTAGGCAAAATTGGCAGTTACTCTGGTAGGTTTAGTTGTTGTGTTGAAGAAGAGCATAAAATGGCAGATAACAATAAGGTCTCTCACTCAGATATTTACCTCTAACTTTAAAAGGTGAAGATAGAGTTTCTTCTCAAAACACAAGATAGCTTTCTTAATTTGGTTACGAAGACAAATGGGGCTTGTAAGTCTGTCATATGAAGTTAGGAGTAAATTGTTACAGATTTTTGCTCCTGTGATTCTGCTTTGGTGTAGATAGCATGGTATCACAACCCTGTGATACCAAGTTTACCCCAAAAGACACAGAGCTGGACAATAGTGATATACTGTACTGCTATGGCTAGCTTTAAGTAGGGTAGACCTCATGAAATAGTTGTTAGGAGTTCCCAAATACTCAGTCATGGCTGAAGAATAAAATCCTGGGCAAAAGGGACCGACAGAAACACCCTAAGTAAATCAACCTTATTTATATACTGTATACAGTATATACAAATAAAAGGTGCAAGACATAATATAAATGCACTTCCTACCTAATTGGGAGTCCGCATAAGCACCACTGACTCCCAACCTAACATTCCCCAGAACAGGAAGGATCAACCTTAACCACATGATGGCTCAGAAAGATGAGAGCACAAACAGACATATGCTCAGGCCAGAAGTCAGAGAAGGACTGAGTGTCCTCAAGAGAGGCAGCTTGTTGGTACTGACCCAGATGGTGGCTTAGTAAGCCAGATGAACATTATTTAATTTACAAGCTTACATTATACTACAAGGCAAGATTTTAAATGGGAGGTCAGAATATTTATGGGAGTGCAATAGGTAATTAAATATGAGCTAAGATCCATGGTATAAAAATTAGTACATATAAATAACAATTAAATATATGGCAACTCAAGCTGTCATGCCTACCTCGCTGCACCTTCGCTTAACTCGCCACATGGTCCTAAGCACATTGGAAACCGAGCTCATAGATAATACAGATACTGCATTTAAACATACTCCTGCGACAATGGCCATTAAAGGGACAACTTTCTTATGTATTTTACAGCATAAAGAAATTAATAAATTCAGCATACATGTACAGTACAATTTTTTAAGGGAGAATAAAGCAAATAGATTGAATACTTTTCAGAGGCTGCTCAGTGTCATAAAGACATGTTTCAGTGTGGTAACAATCAATGCATCGATGCATACTGGGTGTGTGACGGTGACCGTGACTGTGAAGATGGATCAGACGAGAGTCCTGACCAGTGCAATCATCCACTTTGTCCATCTGATAAGTTCCGGTAATGAAGGGCTATATCCTCTTTATTATTTATTTTTCTGTTTCTTTTGCTCTCGCATGCACCTATGAATATTTTAAATATTGCTTGGACTATATTGGAATAAACATTTCAGTTCAATAATTTCCACTTTTTTAATATGCCATTCAGTATACATGTATATCTGTATACAGGATATTCTTTTTTACCCACTTTATATTAGAACAATAAGATAATTTTCCACATAGTAATTTAATTAACTCTGTAACATTGCCTGATTGTATGAACCTACAGGTGTCAGGAGTCTGGGCGGTGTATTGCTCACTCTTGGGTGTGTGACATTGACAAAGACTGTGGTCCTGGTGATGATTCAGATGAACATGCAGCATGTGGTAAGTTGGATGGGGGTTTTGTTAACTGTTGTATATTTTGTTCATTTTTTAAAAGCATGCCAGTTCTTCCCCGATTCTATTGCCAAAATTTTTTTCCGTATGACTGATGTTATTGGTTTATTCCCTTTTTTTTAAATATAGAAATCTTATTTCTATGATAATTACTCTTGTCAAAACTTGCCAGGTGTTGCCTATAATCTTCAACTTATAATGTACATTTATTTTTGAATTTTCACAGAATATCAAGAATGTGATAGAGAAGACTTTAAGTGTGGCAACAAGAGATGTGTACCCACGTTCTATGTATGTGATGGTGATGATGACTGCAGAGATGGAACTGATGAAAGGTCCTGTGACTTATTTTGTGCTAATGCCACTGCTACTGGCCTTCCAACCTCTCCACTCTGCAATAATAACTGTCTTAACATTACACAGCAGGTTAGCTTCTCTCTATTTTAAGAGTCATGGCTGCTTTAGTGTAATGTGTGTGAGAACAAGTAGGGAAGGTAGTATATGGAGGTAGTGAATGGATGCAGGGGTAATGCTGTTGGAATAAAGTAATGTTGTAAAGAATGGCATTAGGATATAAATTTGCCAAACATGGTAAGTTGGAGGAGGGAGGTATTTTGAAAATTTGAGGAACATGAGAATTTATGAGAGTTGATGTTTTTTATTCACTCATTTCCTGTCACTTTCTCCATTTGTTTTGCACCTCTCTTCCCCTTTCTTGGGGGATCTGTTTGAATCATTTCATGCAGAAAGTGAAAGAGGAGAAAGAGTAAATAAAAGAAAATTGGCATTGTAATAAATGAGACAACTTACTTTTGAATACCTTTCACATTTTTATTTATTTATGTTATTGTTTATCTCAAATTTCATTCTTAGAGTTTACCCGCCTTTGATAGTCTCTCTGTTGTATCATATATTTTTTTTTCTCTATTAAAAACTTTTCTGAATACTGTATTATACTGTATTGTGATAATCATTTGGAATTTTTAAAAATGTGACCAATCTTCGAGCTACAGGGCCCCCCAAATTCGCGGGGTTTGGTTCTCAAAATGGGGGCGAATCGCCAGATCCACAAATAATATTTGCTGGTGGGGGTTTAATTTTTTCTTGTGTACAAAGAAATGTATATTCCCTTTGTGTTTGCCCTAAGGACAATTATTTCTTTTATCTGTAGTATTGTATATATGTTGTGTGTGTAGACACACACACACACACACACACACAAACAAATAAATAATACAGTAATGGGAAAATACTCTCACAAATAATCAGAAACATTTAGTACAAATGTGACAGTCTACCCTCAATTCCGTACTTTATTAATGACTTGAGGGTAGACTGTCACATTTTTTATGAAATTGTTTCTGATTATTTGTGAGAGGATTTTCCAACTATGATTTATTTGTGTGTGTGTGTGTGTGTGTGTGTGTGTGTGTGTGTGTGTGTGTGTGTGTGTGTGTGTGTGTGTGTGTGTGTGCGCACGGTCGCGTGTGCTAAAGAAATGAATGACTCCCTCTCTCGGCTTCGAAAATTCCGGCAACTCTAAAACTACCCACTGACATTCTTGGGTACATCCAGGGTGTCATCTACGAATAATAGAAAACCGTGAAATAAAAATCCGCAAACTTGGGGGGGCCTCTGTACTGTAGTTATAGAAGTAACTGAACTCTTTGTTGATTGCTACACTTGTTTGGTAAGAGGGGAAGTGTGTTTATGATTTTTTTATTTGTTTGATGTTAATTCCTTCTTATTATTCACATTTAAATTTACTCTGAAAAGTCTTTATTTTGTAATTAAATTTCTTTTTTATCTTGCACGATCGCTTAACAGGAAACCTGTCAAGAAACACAAGGATGTACGCACTGTGGCACAAACAACACCTGTATAGCAGTGTATCAGCTGTGTGATGGGGTAGAGGACTGTCCAGATGGAAGTGATGAAACTAGATGTGAAGACAAGGTAATGCTTATTATGTTAGTGTACCTTTCTCTTTGGTTAACAGTAAAGCTTCAGGACTTTGCCCTTATGGGACAGTTACTGTAGGCATACATGCAGAAACTTCAAACCATTGAGAGAGATAGAGAGTAAATGAGTGAGGTTGAGTGTTTTTCATGTCACTCGCCCATCCTGGTCACCTCCTGGTCTTTCTGTAATCCCCATGGTTAGTTTAATATACCACAAAGCATTATTGCTGTTGTTAAAGTTAGTATGAATATTAACTAATGTTGAAATATCAGTAAAAGAGTGTACAGTATTTGTCATTCTGAATTTATTTATATTTCCCCCAGATCTTGCAAGGGTGTAGCTCTGATGAGTTCATGTGTGTGAGGACAAGAGAGTGCATTCCTCAAAGTTTGAAGTGTGATGGAAGTGCTGATTGCCTCGATCAGTCAGATGAACTGGATTGTGGTAGGTACCTCACTGATAAGGAGTCTCGGTCACCCCATATCTTTCATTCACTACTAATCTCACTACTACCAAGTAGTTAGACATTTCTATCAATGCTCCTCATAGTGCATCCACAACAGTCAACTTAAAATTTTATTTTATCCATGAACGTATACTGTAAATTATCAATCCTCTCATATATTTTCAGAGAAAGGAATGGTAAGAATTATAATTAACAATTAAACCTTAGTAAATTATACCCTTTGAATATGAATCTGAATCTTTTCTTTTTCAGAATCGATCAACTGTTCACACAGTGAATGGAAATGTGCTACTTTAAAGCAGTGCATCCCAGACGTGTGGAGGTGTGATGGGGAGGAGGACTGTAATGATGGATCTGATGAAAAGATGTGTCCCAGCACCCCTATAAAGTGTCCTGCTCCTGGTCATATATGTGATAATAACACACTTTGCATCCAGCCAGAAAATCTTTGTGATGATCAGAAGCACTGCAAGGATGGATCAGATGAGGGTGGTCGTTGTAGTGAGTGATATTGTTTGAAGTATTTATTGTTATGTAAATATAATTAATTGGCTTTTTCTTTTGAAATTGTATTTGCTAAGACTGATTGTTACTGTTGTTTGAAGTATTGACTGGTATCCAACTAAATTTATATTTTGAAATTGGTTAAACTGAGATTGATACAGTATAAGAAAATTAAACATTGTAAATCCTGTATTGAGTCACCACCTATTTCAGAATATTTCGAGTGTGAACTGATGGACTGTCAAAAGAATTGCACCCAGGGTCCTGGTGGACCAGTGTGTACCTGTCCAAAAGGCCAGACTCTTTTACCAGATGGCCGATTGTGTTCCAGTCTCCATCCCTGTGAACAGTGGGGAACATGTTCTCAAGAATGTGTCCCTACAAAGCATTCACACAAATGTGTCTGCATCAAAGGCTACCAAATAGAACAAGATCACTTTACATGTAAAAGCACTGGTTAGTCATCAAGTGTTATGTGTAACTTGTCATTGACTTTGACGGTATGGTAATATAATATCCTCAGTAGTGACTTTTGAAGCATAGCTTTTGCAGTATAAATTAAATATATACAGTAGCCTGTCTTTTGACTCATAGATTTTGAATCTGATTCAGCATTCCGTCTACTATTATCTATTAGGGCAGTTCATATTATTATTGTAATTTCCGAATTTACGTTACACAACTGTGTATCTTCAAATAGATTTATGTTTCATTTTATCTTTGAGATGGTTGTCCATTGCAGATTCAGCCATACCATACCTCATATTCAGCAACCGCCACGAGCTACGCAGCATCATGCTCAAGGATGGCCTGGGAGTCAAAGCTCTCATATCTGCACTAAAGAATACCATTGCCCTTGACTTCTACCATTCAGATGATGGTGATGTAATATTCTGGACAGATGTGGTGGATGACAAAATATATCGGGGCACCCTGTTGGCGGGAGGTAAATACTGATTTTTCACAGAATATGGATTCTTGACCATTTTATATGTATCAAGTTCTCCTTCTATCCTGACTTCAATATCTGACCTGTTTATTCCTGTGTATTCTGCCTTGAACTGTCTGTGTATTGATATCTTTCACTAGGCTGTATTTACCTCTGTGTTTATCTACATGTTTTTATCTGCATATTTATTGGTGTTCAAGGGCTTATATTCGCAAACTAAAAATAAGTTGGACAAACAGCAAGTTTGAAACTATAGGGGAATTAGATATAATTATTATTGTTACTACTACAGGTCCACAATCCGCAATTCTGAAATCCAAAAGTTTTTTCTTGGAGTATCATTCGTGTGTACGACATACCCAGAATGACGTCGAACATGACCCGACAGCCGAAGCCTGACCCACGCAGATGTGAGGCGTCAGTTGTGTCTCACGTGTGTCTGCTGCTCTCTGATATTTTTTTTTAATTTTGTGATTTTGAGTTTAATTTCACTGAGAAAAGTCAAAAAGAGCTTCAGATACCTCTATGGGTAAAAGTGAGAAAAAGAAAAGGAAGCATCTCTCATTATCGATAGCACAGATAGTGGAGTTCTTACAGAAGCTTGATCGTGGTGTGCCTCTGCGGCGTCTTACTAAAGAATTTAGTGCGGAAATTACCACTGTATATGACTTAAAGAAACAGAAAAACAAGTTGTTGAAGTTTTACACTGACAGTGATGACCATAATGCCACTGACTGATTTATTAGTCATGAAACAAACTAGAATATACCATGAAGAACTGAACATTGAAGGTGAGTGTGAATATTCAGAAGGTTCGTTGCAGAAATATTAATGTGTTTGCTTACGGGTGCTACCACAGACCTTGCTAGGGTGTTACCATAATATACTGTACAGTACATGTACCGTACTACCGTTCTGAAATCCCAAAAATTCCGAATTCCGAAACACATCTGGCCCCAAGGGTTTCGGGTAAGGGATTGTGAACCTGTACTGCTACTACTACTATTTTTTTTTTTTTTTTTTTATATATAGAAACGTGGCCTCCATCCAACCCCCTAATGGCCACACCTTTGCCTCCATTTTATTACCTTAAAATTAAATATCCTAATACATAAGTAGCTACCCTATTACTACTACTACTACTATTTTTTTTTTTATATAAATTATGGCCTCCAGCCTCCCCCAATAGCCATTCCTTCGCCACTATTTTATTACCTTAATATTAAATATCCTTATAAAGTAACTATCCTATTGCTATTACTACTACTGCTACTACTACTACTATTTTTTTTATAAATTATGGCCTCCAGGCTCCCCCAATAGCCATTCCTTCGCCACCATTTTATTACCTTAATATTTAATATCCTAATACATAAGTAGCAATCCTGTCTGTGTTGAGTTAGTTGAGCCGCAGATCTATTACAGTATTACTATCAGCTCCTGAACTGTTGGATTACCTTTTTAGTAGTATTGTATGGTCTCGACTTACTCGGTCAATTTAACCCGTGGAGGTCCGCGTAAAACGAGGAACGCGTAAACGAAATAACAGAACATATGGGATTAATTGGAGCTCTGTAAGCATGTCTGCCTGATGTTGGGCTCCACTGCAGATTTTTCGTTTGGGGTTTACTCCCGTAACCTTGTACTGTACCTACAAGGTTAATCTGCAAGGCAGTAGGGCAGTGTTTTGGTAGGTGCCAGGATGTGATATGTGGACATGTATGGACATCATCACTACTGTTACACATCACATCACTATAACTTTATCAACAACAGCACTACTGTCACACATCACCACTGCAGTCACACATCACCACCACCACTATCACACTATCAACATCACCACTACCTTTATAACATTATTAACATCACCACCACAGTCACACACTTAGTGGCAACCTCACTGAGTGAGGACGTGTCCCCTGGCGCTCCGCAGCAGCCAAGGTCATCACGTCGACCTATAGTACTGTACAAAGAGGAAGATCTTAAAATAACTTTTGTTTTTTGTTTTTCATTTTCCCAGTATTCATGGATCATGTCTGAAATCATTTAAGAATTTTAGGCTTTTTTTAATTGATTTTAGTTAGTTATTGTAAATAAATTTAGAGTCACTGTTATTATTTTCATTTTTATTTTTATTTTTGCTGTTCTGAGCATTTTAATTTTATTTTATTAGTATGTTATTGTAATTATTGTAAATTCTTGTTTTAGCCTTGTCAAACATTGAAGTGGTGGTACAGACTGGTCTTGCCACAGCAGAAGGATTAGCTGTTGATTGGTTAGCAGAAAATCTGTACTGGGTGGAGAGCAACTTAGACCAGATAGAAGTGGCTAAGCTGAACGGATCTTACCGACGCACACTTGTTGCTGCTCAGATGGAAAGTCCACGAGCCATTTCACTCGACCCAAGGGTTGGGATGATGTTCTGGACTGACTGGGAGGTATTTAACTTTGTTTTAACTCTTACTCTGTTTTTAAGCATATTTTAAAGCCTCGCATCAGTTCAAGGAAATCCATGTATAATATACATGGTTCCAATTGGCCTGAACTCACAACATTAATGGCTGGCACTGATGTATAGCTAGGAAATCTCCTGTTACAACAATTACTCCTAAAAATAAAGCTTATAAGTGACAGTACTATCACTTTCATGACCCACTGATTATGTTAACAGTATGCAGAGAAAGGTAAAAGAAATTAAATAAATGCAGTCAAGGGAAAGATATTATATATTATCAGGATGTAACAGATGCTGTCTTGAATATGCCTACTGTAGGGTTAGGATCTAGGGAAACCATGAACTACTGTAATGATGACTGAGGTAGTAACCCAAAGATTACCCTTCTCTCCTGCAAGCAACTTTAGCCCTTAAAAAGAGGTAAGAAAAAATTGCCGTGAAGTGGAATTATGGTGTTGTCTGGATGGTGTGGCTGGATAATCACTGGTTTGAATAGTTTTATCAGAATTTTCACCTGCGAGTTGGTTGGACTTCTGTACCTAGGAGCCCCTCTGAGAGACTACTGTGTCATTTCTCTTTTCTGTTGTGTGGAACAGGGAAGATTTCTGTAAAGGGGGCCATGTAAAGGGGGCCTTAACAACCAGCTTTTCCTTGCTGGAGGGGCTATGGACCCATCATTCTGAAGGCTGTGGGAACTTAGAGCTCTTGCTCTCCCTCTAGAAGATGTGGGCAACATTTACACTTGGTAAGTGAGGTGTTTTTTTCCCCTGGGAGGTGAATAATCGCACAACACTTGGAACAGCTTGTACCACCTCCTCCCTTTTATCTTAGCTGGCTTTAATATTGACAAGACTCTCTTGACAGGCTTAGGTTTTAAATCTGTTATTGATCCTTAAATCCAGGTTTATAACTGAGCCTGGATAGACTGGCTTGGTTCCCATCCTCCTCCTCCTTCATGGTTTACACCAGCATTGGCTGGAAGTGAGAGTTGGTTGTGTAGTCTCATGTGTGCGTGTGTGAGCAGCTGATTCGGATCATGGGTGCTCTTTGTGACATCTAACATGTTAGCTTCCAGTAGTGCAGTTTCTTTCTTAGCCCTATTTAGGGGCTAGAGTTGCTTGTGGGGAAGAATGTTATCTTCATATTACTGTATTGCCCAAGCCACTGTTTGATTGGGGCTTCTATGGGTCTTAAGCTCCAAGCCATTGGCAAGTATATTCACGAGTTGTTCTGTACACGCTTGGCTATAAACTAGGATTTCAGGATTAATCCCAAACGTGTACTTTTATAAGAAGATGATCTGCTAATGAGTAATTTTATTCATATCCTGTAATTGGTTTTGTATAGACAATGTATTGAAGTGGATTTTAATGCAGGCTAAGTACATCTTAGGTTTTTTGCTTTGCTTTTTTGTTTATAAATACATGTTTCTTAATACAATATTGTATGTGGTTTCAGTATAATATTATTTTATGATTAAGATTGTATAATGCAGTAAAAACTTTTTTGGTGTCTTCAGGAAGGAAAGTCTCGGATAGAGTCATGTAGTATGTCTGGGGAAGGCAGGCGTATAGTGATCATGGTGAGTGAGATCAATGGTGGTGGTGGCTGGCCTAATGGACTAACCCTCGACTATGCATTACGTCGAATCTACTGGATTGATGCCAAGTCTGACTCCATCCACACTTCTTTCTATGATGGCTCAGACCATAGGGAGGTAATGATTATATATTATTGTTGTTTATTGTGTGTAAATAATAATATACTGTACATTACTTTGAAAATGGAGGTGCATGAAGAGGAGTAATATAGTAGAATACATTTATTACACCATTATGGTGGCAAAAAAGCTTGAAAAAGTCGAAAGAGAAAGAATTGTGTTCCTCTGTTAGCTATTTTCTTATGTGTTTGTATTTCTCGATTTGTTTCTGTAAAGCATCCCTTCCAATCTTTATGTAAGTTACTTAAGTCATAGCTCCATAATTTCTTAAGAGTTTCATGTTTGTCAGTTAGTTTCTTCTTGTGCATAATGTCAGTTCGTTATCCCCAAGTATTTTATGTTTGGGATAATGGGAATTAGCTACTTTTAATGTTGATACAATACGTATATGAAATTAAAGAATGTTTGTAGTACATGTTAAGAATTTATTTAAAGAAGAAACCTATTATTTGATTGAAGAAGGAAAACCAGTTCCTTTTGTTAACTACAGCAATATTTATTTGGAAAAGTGTTGGGGTATTGGTATTAAAAGGAAAATAGTGAAAGATAATATAATTTCAGTCTCCATTATTATTATATTTCAGATTCTCCGAGAGCATCACCTGTTGTCTCATCCCTTTTCCATCTCCTTGTTTGGAAACTATGTTTACTGGACTGACTGGCGGACCAACTCTGTCATTAGGTGAAAATTTATATACTAAGCTACTAATGCACTTTATTCAGATATTCCCATAATGGTATTATGATTAAAGCCTCCTTTTTCTTTAACCCTCATGAACCAGCTCCCCTCTTACCCGAATAAAATCATCTTGCATTAGCTGAACCAAAAATTATTTAAGTGGCATCCCCTTAATGAAGGGGTTAATCTTCTTTTTCCATGGTGTATATCTATTCACTGTAATTTATCTTTGTTCTCCTATTTTTTTATCTGATCCATCCCTGTGTTTTATGTAAGAATTTAATTTTGATTTACATGAAGTAGATATAAACAAGGTTTTGAAGAATGTGACTGTAAAAATTGAAGGATTCCTGTACATCCTTTAATTTATACAATACACTATAATCTGTCACTGTGTCCTGCCATATAATGGTTGCCCCTTGTGTAACGAGGATGGCCGGCCCAAGGGCCACCTAGGCGTGAATTTGTTTAAGGTGTAGAAGCTGTCGCCAGCACAGCAACCACACCCCAAGTTAACGAGTTGCATGACCCAGTGTCAAGGAATAGTCCTGGAAGACCGGATAACTCGTCAACTGCACTGGCTAACCATTACCCCGGAATACGATCCGCAAATCGATTAACATCCAGGTCCCCAATTTTTGCTGGGGAGACAGAGGCAAATAGCGTAATAAAGAAACTTGCCCATAGGCTTCCTGTACATCCTTTAATTTATACAATACACCATAATTTGTCACTGTATCCTGCCATATAGTAACGTGACTCACACATACCGTAATTTGAGGTTCGAGTAAAATTTTGTTCATCCTTTATGACTTAATTTTTTTCTTAGTGCACATTTTGAGTAATTTTTTCTCACTTATTGCAGAGCAGCTAATAGTACCAAAGTTATAATAAAAGATAATGTTTTGCAGAGCCAACAAATTCAATGGGTCAGATGTTCGTGACATACATCGCACAATTACCCAACCATTTGACATCCAGGTTTTGCACCCAAGCCGTCAACCAAGAGGTAAATATGTTTTGTGTCTGCACCATAGAATATTGATTCTGTACAGTATAATTATGTAAGTGAGAGAGATAGAACATTTAATTTGTATAAATTGTGTATAGAGAGTAACAGGGAGGTACTACCGCTTGGGACGATATTGGAAGCATAATGTATTGTCTAATGGTAGACCCTGCTGCCATATGACCTCACAAAAATTGTGACCAAGTCCCAGGTTGCTGATCTGACTTTCTGCCTCATTTACACACAATTGCAGGATCTCAATTGTTTCTTTTACTATTGACAACACAACACAACACACACACACACGCACATATATATTTCATGTAGATTCACAATGAAAACGTGGATAAGATAAATCTTGATAAAATCACACGGGAAAAGGGAAACAACGGAGCACCTTAGCTTTCGTCTTTATTCAAGACATCTTCAGAGGCAACTGGATTACATGGACAGAGAGAGGCTTAAATATACAGGGTGACCTTAAAAACATGAGGTCAGGTCATAATGATGTCATCCACTAATCCCCACACCAACACTCATATAATATATATATATATATATATATATATATATATATATATATATATATATATATATATATATATATATATATATATATATATATATATATATATATATATATATATATATATATATATATTGTTTTTCACTTTTGATCTTTTTTTTTTCATTTATGTATTTCTTTATGGTTCTTTATTTTTATTATTATTACAGTGTTGCTATTATTATTGTCATTATTATTTTATTTTATTCTCAATTTTGTATATTGTTTTCAGATGTTCCAAATCCTTGTAAAGAAGACAACGGAGGTTGTTCTCACTTGTGTCTGCTGAGTTTCAATGGCACTCATCAGTGCAACTGTCCTCACATTATGAGTCTTGGTTCAGACAACAAGACTTGTATCCGTGAGTATGAGAACAGAACACATCTTCACCATTCAATTTTGTGTCAAATTAAACTTTGGGTAATACTTTTCAGTAGTTTGTTGGGAAGAACTAAAGGTGTTGAATTTAGTTGTGATGAACTGAGAGTGTCAGATTATGAATTGGAAAACTGGGACAGATTTTCTAATTATGTTTCTTTTTTCAGGTAATGCAAAGGTTTTGTTGTTTTCCCGTCCTAATGAGATTCGGGGTGTTGATCTCAACAAACCAAGTCATGACATCATTCCTCGTATATCACTCCCAAAAGTCCAACATGCTTCACAATTAGACTTTGAGGCAAAAAGTAAAAAGATCTACTGGGCTGACTTAAATTTGAATGAGGTGAAGAGAGCAAGTCTAACTGGGGCTCCCATAGAAACTGTTATGGATACTGCTCTTCAGGCTCCAAGAGGCTTTGCAATTGACTGGCTCTCAAAAAACCTCTTTGTTACATCAAATGCGGATAAGAGTAAGCAGATTAATGTGGCAACAATAAATGGAGAGTTCATGATACCAATCATTACTGAAAACATATTAGACCCCTTATCTCTAGCAGTAGATCCTTATGGAGGAAGAATATTCTGGTCAGATATAGGTGGTAAATACCATACTGTACATATGGCTTCAATGACTGGCAGCAATGTGACTTTATTGTCTTCTCAGGAGCACAATGTGTATCTACACCATCCTCGGAGCCTTGCATTTGATGCTTCTAGTCAGCGTCTCTACTGGGTCAACCTTGGCTCTGATTCTATACAATATTATGATATGCTAAATGATAATTCACTTCACCTACTAGAAACAGGAAACTCTACCAAGCCTGAGGCACTGACAGTATATATGAATGATGTGTATTATACTGATGCTTCTGACAGTAGTATTTATAAGGTGGATAAGAATACTGGAAGTAATCGGGAGTTAGTCCGCTCTGGTCTTCAAAATTTTTTGTCCTTGAAAATTTATGATGAAGCTATTCAAGATGGAAGCAATGCCTGTTCTCAAGACAGTCCTCCTTGTGCACATTTGTGCTTGCCTAAGAACAGGGTAGAGAGAGAGTGCCGCTGTGCTGTCGGTTATAAAGTAGATGAAGGGGATCCTACAACATGTGTTGGAGTTGATGGTGTTCTTATATTTTCCAACAATGTAGGTCTTAGTGGCATTGATGTCAATACACCATTCACTGAAAGTGGAGAATATTTAGAATTATTAACACCAATATCAGAAATTGGGACGGCTACACGGTTAGATTTCCACGCCAGCCAAGACCTGCTGGTGTGGGCAGACGGAGACCGAGGAACCATCACCAGTATTCAAAGAGACGGCACAAATCGACGTGTAATAGTTGAAGGGGCCAATACCATCCAGGGCATTGCTGTGGACTGGGTTGCAAATAACCTGTACTGGACTAATCCACAAGCAGATGTGATCGAGATGTGTCGCCTGAATGGTTCAGACCACTTTGTTATTATAGCAAGTGATTTGGAGAAACCAGGAGCTATTACATTATATCCAGGTGGTGGTTACATGTTCTGGGCAGACACCGGTAATAATGTCAGAATTGAGAGAGCCACTCTAGATGGAGCAAATAGGACAGTGCTAGTGAACACATCTCTTCAGTTTCCATCAGATTTAGTGGTTGACTTTGAAGAAGGTTACTTGTACTGGGTTGATCAAAGAGCCAAAACTTTGGAAAGAGTATACCTGGATGGATCTGAGAGAGAAATGCTTTTGGACAGCAGCTCACTACAGTTACCTGTTGCTACTTTTGTCTTCAATAACAACATCTACTGGGCAGATATGTAAGAAACTTTGTTGTAAATGAGAAATGGAATAATTAATGTAATTTTTTTTAATGATTAATGCTGAAGTGAAATTAAATAAGATATACTTCTGCCTTTTGTTCATGCAGTTGTATATATTGTATTTAGACCAAAAATAATAATACACTAGTTAAGATCTGTCAGTTGATATTATTAGTTATTGGTGTGACTGTTACAGGGTATCTGGTGGAGGCTCTGTGAGAAGTACCTCTAAAACGGATTTAAGCAGAATATCAACCCTGAGATCTGGTATTGGAGACACTGTTAAAGATATTATAATAATGAGTAATGATGTGCAGATAGGCATCAATCCCTGTGCCAACAATAATGGAGGCTGTGCTGAAATTTGTCTTTACAATGGCATACGTGCTCGTTGTCAGTGTTACCATGCACGCGTCGCTAAAGATGGCAAGGCTTGTGAAGGTAAGTGCCATGCTTGTGTTTATTTTACATGAGTACAGTATCAAGTTTTGTTCTGTTTTATATTTAATTAATTTTCTCGAGCAGTTGTTTATCGTAATTCAGAATGATTAGAAAACCAAATCAGAAAATTGAGAGATTTATGCAGCAGATTCAATAACAGTGCATTCATTGGGTATTCATATATGATTTACGTAATTTTTTATTTATTTTTATTTTTTCAGATTATGATGCATTCCTAATGTTCTCGAGCATCACCGGCATAGACAGCATCCACATGTTTGATGAAAATAACCCAAACACTCCTCTCAAGAAGATAACTTCCGACTTCATGAAAAATGCCATCAGCCTGACATTTGATTTTGTCAATAAACGCCTCTACTACTCAGACATCCAAAGGGGAAGCATAAACACTGTTCATTTCAATGGATCCAACCACGCCATCCTAGTTGAAAGTAAGTAATAAAAACTGCATGTATGTACAGCCACCTGCACTTTATACCTGGCACAATGGTAGGCGTGCTTTGTGAGATGTGGTAACTCTTGAGTAATGCTTATCTACCATCCTTAGTCTGGCTACTATTGCAAGAATCCTTTGGGCTATTGTAACAATGTCATGAGTTTCCCACCACTTGAGAGTTCCCGCCAATTTTAAACCAATAGTATGAAGGCCTTAGGCCCGTTTTCGACCAATGAGAAAGCCTTTGTAGGTTGAACGCCGTTTGAAAAGCAGAGTCTGTGTTTGAATTTTGTGTAGGGAGGTGTGGGACGTCTGTGGTGGCGACATGGTAGGTATTTTGGTGTATTCTATTTGGTAAATCCTTAAGTTCCCATTTGTTGTGAGATACGTGGTCCCCGTTTAACTAGCTAGGAACATAGGTTATTATTTTGAAGTGTAGCTATTAAACCCTAATTCAATAAATACAGTAACCGTTAATAAGAGTCCTAATTCATCCCTCCCTTATTAAGAAAGAGTGATGTGTTATATATGTCTTGGTATTATGCAGTAATACGGTGAGTCCTATATACAGTGATCCCTCGGTTAACGAGCGCCTAGGTTAACGAGATTTCAGTTAACGAGTTACCTTCCGAAAGATTCTTAACTTCGGTTAACGAGCAATCCCTCGATTAACGAGTTTCTTACGAGCTGACCTGAACATGTTTTCGCTTGCACTTGGTGGTCAACCAGCTGTAGTATTAGTCCGCCCATACAGTAATTGGTTCTAGGGATTAAATTCCTTACTATTTTAGTAAATATCAAGAAGTTTATACTATTCAATAATTTTAAAAGTTTAATTTTAAATTTTTTAGTCATTTTAGCAATTATTGAACGTAATTGAAGGTAATGAAAATAGTTTTATGCGTGCCATCCAGCCTGTCAACACACCAAACAAGCGTTAGTCTCTCTGTCTTTTCAGTGGAGGTAACATCTTGCTTGAGACTCTCTTCAACTGAATGCTTTTTTCTGTGTTTCCAAGCAAATTATTGGTCATTTTGAAATTTATTTTACATATTAACAATATATAGCGCAGTGCAGTGTTATTTAAAGAAAATATTCTTTGTTTACAGCAAGTTTAAACTTAAAATATCACGTGTTGAGATTGTTTGAATCCAGCATGGGGCCTAAGAGATCAAGAAAAGCGATTTCAATCAAAACTAAGTAGGAAATTATAAAAAAACATGAAGGCATTAGAACAAATGCGCTATGCAAAGAATATGGCATGTCGACAATTCTTGCACAGAAAGAAAAATTTAAAGAAATGAAGGTGAGAGACAAATCTACCAGTGTGTTTAAAAGTAGATCCCTAATTGCAGAAACTGAGAGGTTACTTCTCATCTGGATTAGGGAAAACAGATGAAAGGCGATTCAGTTTCTACTGAATTTATTTGTGAAAGAGCCAGGGAGATTTACGAACATTTAAGACAGATCAACCTGGTTCTTCAGGCGCAGAATTTGAAGATTTTAGGGCCAGCAAAGGCTGGTTTGAAAAATTTAAGAAAAGAAGTGACATTTTCAATGTTATTAGGCATGGTGAGGCTGCTCGTGCTGATAAGGAAGGGGCAGTAAAGTTTTTAGTGGAGTTTAAAGAACTGGTGGAAGATGAAAATTATCTTCCGCAGCGAGTGTTCAGTGTGGACGAGACTGGGCTGTTTTGGAAAAAGATGCCCAAAAGAACATTCATCACCAGAAATGAAGCCTCTTTACCTGGGCATAAACCCATGAAAGACCGTCTCACTCCATTGCTTGGTGCCAATGCTTCAGAGGATTTCCGACTGAAGCCTATGCTTGTCTACCACTCTGAGAACCCCAGGGTGTTCAAACAACAAAAAGTGGTAAGAGGAAAGCTTGGAGTTTATTGGAAGTCCAACCGTAAGGCATGGGTGACAAGACAGCTCTTTAATGAATGGGCTGTTGAGATGTTTTGCCTTTCTGTCAAGAGCTACCTAACCACCAATAAACTCCCTTTAAAGGCTCTTCTCCTCATGGATAATGCCCCTGGGCATGACCCTGAACTTGCCAGAACTTTGGAGTATCAATTTGACTTTGTGAAAGTGTTGTTTTTGCCTCCCAACACTACATCAATCATACAGCCAATGGACCAGAATGTGATTAGCAACTTCAAGAAGTTGTACATGAAGAAAATGTTTAGGGGGTGTCATCAGGCAACTTCCACTGATCCTGAACTAACACTGGCACAGTTCTGGAAGACACAATTCAACATCCTGGAGGCTGTAAAATTGATTGTGTCATCATGGCAAGAAGTCTCCACTAGATCGCTCAATTCTTCATGGAAAGCACTGTGGCCATCAGTAGTCCATGATTTTGAGGGATTTGAGGAAGAAACAGAGTTGGACCAGGAGATTGTGTCCATTGGTCAGTCATTGGGCCTTGAAGTGGAGGAGGATGATGTTGAAGAGCTTGTGATATCTCATGAGGAGGAACTTACTCCTGAAGACTTGAAGCAACTGGATGAGATGTTAGAGGCTGACAATGGTGAGGAGGAAAAGGGAAGTGATGACCATATGTCAACTAAAGAGTTGAAAGATGTTATTTACTACTGGGAGAAGTTCAGGAAACTTGCTTCAAGGCACCCAGATGTGGAAAAATCTGAACTAACTTTGTGTCATGTTGAAGACACAATGGTCTCCTTCTTTAAACATAAGTTAATGATGAGGAGAGATGCTCCACAGACCACAATTGACACTTTCTTCAGTAAAAGGCAGAGGGAACAAGATGCTAGCCCTCGGCCTTCCACTTCAAGAAGGAGAGAGGATGATGCTAACCCTCAGCCTTCCACTTCAAGGAGAGAGGATGTTCATGGTGGAGAATCTGTCAGTCCAGAGGTTCCTGACATTTTCATGGAAGGTGACTCACCTTCCAAGAAGCAGTAAAATGCTTCTCCTCCACCTCCACTTCCTTTTCTTCTCCCTTCTCCTCCTCCACCTCCCACTTCAAATTCACATTAGCATCATCATCCAGGAGCCTTCTACATACACACCTCAAAGTAAGTGTACATTTCTACCTTTTTTGTTGAATTTGGGCAATTTTCGGTGAGCTGGAACCAATTACCCAAAATCCCATTGAAACAATGGTTTCGGTTAACGAGCAACCTGCTGGAACGGATTGTGCTCGTTAACCGAGGGACCACTGTATATATATATATATATATATATATATATATATATATATATATATATATATATATATAACTATCCTATATTTCCCCTCTGTGAAGTATTGATATCTTAGTCCCCCTAACCAGCCTCCCGGCTGAGTCTCCACTCGCTGGTGTGTGTGGGAGGGCCAACTGTAGGCCTATATTACCAGCCAACTGCAACCATAAACAGTTGCCTCCCTTGCCCTCTCCACCTCTCACGAGTGTAAAGAGAAGAAGAATAAGTTTATAAATAAATAAGTAAATAAATATATAGAATTAAAAAGACAATAAAAGAGTAATTTGTTACATAAAATATGTTACATCACAATACCGGTATAGGGACATATAAACACAGTTGTTACAGAGTTGCCAAATCTTACGCAACACGCCAGGCACTATATCAGGTATAAGTGCATGCAGCTGTACCTTAATCGAGAGTTGTATATAGAAAATTGTATGAATTTATAAAAAAAAAAATTCAAATATATATGGTAAAATTTTACAGTATTTTTTTAATTTATAATTTATAAAGGTATTTGAATTGTGTACATTTAATTTTATGTTTTATTTACCATACAGTGGTCCCTCGGTTAACGAACACAATTCGTTCCAGAAGGTCTTTCGTTAACCGAAAATTTCGTTAACCGGAACCATTGTTCCAATGGGTTTTTGGGTAATTGGTTCCAGCTCACCGAAAATTATGTACAAACTAAAAATAAATGCAGTAAAGTACACTTACTTTGAGGTGTGCATGTAGAAGGCTCCTGGTTGATGATGATGATGATGATGATGATGGGAATTAGAATGGGGGTGGAGGAGAAGGGAGAAGAGAAGGCATTGGGGTGGAAGAGAAGTCACTCCATGCTTCATGCCGCCATTTCACCCATAAAATTTTTGTTCACTTGGTGTAATTCAAGATTATTTTCTTTAAATCAACACTGCACTGCATTATATATTGTCAATATGTAAAATAAACCTCAGAATGACCAATAATTGTACTGTAAAAACGTAAAAATAGTTTATGTTCAAGAGAGTCTCGAGCAAGGAGCTTCCTCCACTGAGCAGGGACACACACTGACGCCATTTTGGGCGAGTCAAGTAGCTGTTTGGCGCGCTAAAAACTAGTTCCCTGTACTCCAATTATGTTAAATATTTGTTAAAATGACTAAAAACTTTAATATAAGACTTGGAAACTTATTGAATAGTACAACCTTCTTGATATTTACTCAAATGGTAACGAATTTAAGCCCTAAAACCGATTACTGTATTGGCGGACTAATAGCAGGCAAAAGCAGGCGAAAACATGTTGGGAAAAATTCGTAAGGAATTCGTTCACCGAAATTTTTTCGTTAACCTAAGTGAAGAATTTTATGGAAGGTAAATCGTTAACCGAAATTTCATTAACCGAGGCGTTCGTTAACCGAGGGATCACTGTATATAAGTGTACTTTTGTACTTAGTTCCAGTTTTCTGACTCATAAACACGTTCTTGGTACCTTAATTCATATTGTTTTCATATGCTGTACACCCCTTGGTTAACGAACTCAACTGCTCCAGAAGGTCGCTCTAACCGAAAAGTTCGTTTAACCAAACCATTGTTTCAATGGGTTTTTGGGTAATTGGTTCCAGCTCACCGAAAATTTCCTAAATTCAACAAAAATGGTAGAAAAGTTCACTTACTTTAGGTGTGTATGTAGAAGGCTCCTGGATGATGATGATGATGATGATGGGATTTAGAATGGGGGTGGAGGAGAAGGAAGAAGAGAAGGCATTGGGGTGGAAGAGAAGTCACCCCATGGCGCCATTTCATCCATAAAATTTTAGCTCTCTTGGTGTAATTCAAGATTATTTTCTTTAAATCAACACTGCACTGCATTATATATTGTCAATATATAAAATATATTTCAAAATGACCAATAATTTGCTTGGAAACACAGAAAAAAAGCATTTAGTTGAAGAGAGACTCAAGTAAGATGTTACCTCCAGTGAAAACAGAGAGAGACTAATGCCTGTTTGCTGTGTTAAGAGGCTGGATGCCGCGCATTAAACTAGTCACTTTACCTTCAATTATGTTCAATAATTGTTAAAATGATTAAAAAATTGAATATTAAACTTTTAAAATTATTGAATAGTATAAACTTCTTGATATTTACTAAAATAGTAAGGAATTTAAGCCCTAGAACCGATTAATGTATTGGTGGACTGATACTAAAGTTGGTTGCCCGGTCAGTGCAAGCGAAAACATGTTGAGGTCGGTTCGTAAGAAATTCGTTAACCGAATTTTTGTTCGTTAACCGAATTGAAGATCCTTATGGAAGGCAGTTCGTTAACCGAAATTTCGTTAATCGAGGCGTTCGTTAAACGAGGGGTCACTGTATAGTACAATACAGAACTTGGAATTTTCAGAATTCTTATTTATGGCTTGTTGTTAAAGTGATGTATTGCTGTTTAATTATATAGACCATTAAAACTTCTATGTTGTTAACATGGTCATTTGTATATAATTCTGTTTTTTGTTTTGCAGGACAAGGATCAGTAGAAGGTTTAGCATTTGAGGAGAAGGAACGAGACCTGTACTGGACTTGTCAGAGTGATGCGACCATTAATCGTATGAGCGTTGACATGACTCGAACACAAAGGGTAGAAAAGATTGTCCACCTGGATCCTTCTGATAAACCCCGTGGCATTGTTGTGGACAGCTGTGACCTGTACGTACCTGTAGCAGATCTAATTAACTTTGTACAGTAGTATATTGAAGCCTTATTCTCCATCCAAAGTTGGTTGATAGGTGCCAAGTGTTCCTTGAAATTCAAGCTGGAAAACTTTATTCTGATTTACAAATGCAAAATTACAGGATAGCTGTAATGTAGAGTTACAATAAGTCAGATGTGTTGAGAAGTTGTAGATGTTCAGCTGATTATGGTCATTACATCTTCATCATTTAAAACCAAACATTATCTGAAACATGTTAATTGGGGAGTCACTACGTAAATTAGTCCTCACTTGGCTTCTTATGTAATATGAAGTGTATAAAGTATGAGGGACACAGATGAGCCACCTGAGAAATTAAAAAAAAAGGATTTTTTATGGTGTCCTCCTTAGGATATATTTTACAGTTAGTGTTATCCCTTCCAATTTGCTCAACATCAACATAATTTTTTTGGTAGGGTCATAATCACCTAATATGATTATATAGTTTTAGTAAAGCATGAATCAGTTGGTTGAGATGGAAATAGGAATGTACCTCTCTGTACATCCACAATGCTTCTGTGCTACAGAGTTCTAATTGTGAAGTGTTCAAGTACTGTGAAGGATCACATTCACCCCCTCCATTTTACAATTTGTTGAAGGTGAACAGATATACTGAATTTTGTTTTATTTCTTTAGTTTTCCTTACATTTATAAGTTTTTGAACATTATCATTAACACATTGTACTTTGTTTTTTAGGCTCATTATTATATTTGAATAAAATCCTTATTATTTTGTTTAATACTTTATTATATTGATATACAATTTGGTAAAATATTAAACATTTTGCTCTTAAGTAACTAATAGTAATCATCCAAGGTAAATGATGGAAGGAAGTCATAAAAAAATAATTTTCTTCTTATTTGTTGTGCTAATAAGGATAGTGAGTTCTTCATTAAAAAGTACAGAGAACATCAGCATTTAAGTGTTAATATTTTGAGAATCAGCTGTTGTAAAGTTAATAGTCAAACCTCATACTTAAAGGTTGTATAATACAGAGAAGCCTCTGCCCACTCTCACCAGCCAGATATATTGGACTAACTGGAACTCCGAGGCTCCATCCATCCAGCGGTCTCTGGTGAGTGGCATCCGAGTGGAATCTATCATAACCACCCAGATCAAGATGCCTAATGGTTTAGCCATCGATCATAAGGCTCAGAAGTTGTACTGGGGGGATGCCAGGCTAGACAAGATTGAGAGGTGCAACCTGGATGGGTCAGAGCGATTGGTAAGGAGGCATATTTAGATTTTTTTATTTTTTATTCTTTGATAAAAATATTGTTAGAGGGTGCTTGTGATATTAATTTAAATTTTATATTATAGTTTCTTCTTCCCTTTTGGTGAGGGGGGGATCTGTTTCACTACTTTCTTGCTGCTCCATAATCCTCCACCATCTGAGTTGTTCCCTGCTTTTGTGAGCCATCCTTCTGCACTCTTTTTCAGGTTTCTTAACACTGTGTCTATGTACCTGATTCTCAGTGTACCTATTCTCCTCATGTTCCCCACCTCCTTCTTTGCACTCCTTTTCTGGCTCTTCTCCTTGTGTTGTCCGAGTCCTCGCCACTGTAACCTACGACCGACTACCTTTCCTCTAATTGGCTTTTTTGTCCTAGTTTCCTCTTTTGCCTTCATCTTCTCCTCTTCTTGACTCTTTGTTCCTAAACACAACATGAAGCCATACCACACATGTGTCTGTTGCTTTTCCTTTCAGTCAATTCATTATTTTCTTGAAACTCATGCTTGTATTCTTCTTTTTACCCTTTTATACCATTCTTACTTAATGCCTCTCTCATATATATATATATATATATATATATATATATATATATATATATATATATATATATATATATATATATATATATATATATATATATATATCTATCTATCTATCTATCTATCTATCTATCTATCTATCTACCTACTATCTATCTTATCTATCTATCTATCTATCTATCTATCTATCTATCTATTATCTATCTATCTATCTATCTATCTATCTATCTATCTATCTATCTATCTATCTATCTATCTATCTATCTATCTATCTATCCATTTATTTATTTATTTATTTATTTATTCTCCCACCATAATAGAGTCAAACAGTCAGTATTTTCAACAATGTTTTTACGTGCTTTGAGAATTTGCAGTCCGGAATTCATTGATGAGGAATATAAATATATCTATAATATTGGCTCAAACCTTAAATACCCTAGATCTTTCATAGACAAATGCCTGAACATTACTAAGAAAACTTTTTATAGAACTGACCCCAAGCCCACCCATGACCATAAGAATATCTTAATATTACCATTTCACAAAAATTTCTCACGCATTCCTTCACAACTAAAAACCTGGAACGTCAATGTGGCATTTAAAAACTCATGCACTGTTAAACAAATGTTAATCAAGAACTCCCCCAACAACACAATTGGTTGCATTTCTAAAGTTCCTTGCAAGGAATGTAATATGTTTTACTTAGGCCAGACAGGTAAAGATCTTGTAACTAGACTTAAACAACATAAATATAGTGTTAGGACAGGCCAGGAATCCAATGCTCTGTTTGTTCATTTGAGGGATAACAAGCATTGCATTGACTGGGATAATGCCTCCTCAATATTACCTTGTAATTCAATTGATAGTAGGAACATCATAGAATCTGGTCTCATTAAACATACCGAAGCATTCAACATGAATTTGAGTAATGGCATGTACAAACTGGACAATTTTGTAATTAAGAAGATTTGTAACCAGGTGAGAAGGTCGGGTCACCTGACCATCTGACCTGACTACCGACCGTTGCCGTGCTATTTATAGATTAGTAGGGTCATTACCTAATACCTGACCATTGTGGACCTGGTCTCACCCTCTGTATATATACACCTTGTTTTGTACTTCTCTTTAGTCTGTACTCACCCCTGAAGATGTGAATTACACGAAAGCGCTTGAGAACTTCGTGTTTTCTTCCTTCCTTGTGGTTATCAGCATATACCTAGATCACGCGCACCTACAGTGATTTACTTGCATATATATATATATATATATATATATATATATATATATATATATATATATATATATATATATATATATATATATATATATATATATATATATATATATATATATATATATATATATATATACACATACAGTTGGTCCTCACATTACGCGGTTAATGTAACCCAGAGGGTCCCGCGGAAAGTGAGGAACGCGGAAAGTGAATAACATAACATATGGGATTAATTGAAATGGAGTCCAGGCCGATCCCCAAACTCCACTTTTTGACGACACACAACTATGTTGTAGTAAAAATTTTATCTTAACTTTATGATGGTATGAAAAAACAAGTAATATAGAAGAGGTTAGGTTAGGAAAGATAAAGGTTAACATAGGAAAAATAAAGAATAGGTTAAAAAACTAAAAATTTTGTGTAACACTTACGGTAGTAGAAGAGATGGGTCGGCATACGGGGATGGAGGCTGGTTCCGAGGCAGAGGGCAGATTACTGGCCCTCAGGTGAATCACCATTACTAGGTGAATCATCATCACTGTCACTTACAGTTGTCAGGGCTTCCCTGACAAATCCCTCAAAGTCAACTTCACTGTCACTATCACTGGCTTGGGCTGGCTGTGGTGGGTTGCGGGTGAAGAAATCTGTTATGCTTTGCTGACGGCTGGCGTTGATGTTGTCGTGATACACCTTGATGTATGGCTCCATAGCCTGCACCAGCCGGTTATGGAAGACTTCATAGCGGTCATCGTCATTGTCGCGGGAAAGGACGGACTTAATTTTCTCTGCAAACTCCATGGCACACTTAATATCACTATGACTTAAACTGTGTTCTTCGGAGACTGACGCACCTTCTTCCTCCTCTTCACTGACGTGTTCTTCTTCCATCATCTCGTCGGCAGTCACTTCAGGATCTCTGATCACCTCCAGGATGTCGTCGTTGGTGGTCTCGGAGAAGCCTGGAACTGTAACAGTCTGCGCAGCTTCTCTGGCAAGGTCCACTGCTACTGCAACATTCTGAACCTCACCAGTCACAGATTGACTCCTCCTCTCACCTGGTATTCCATGCAACACATGTCTCCATGCGTGACGAATTGTAGCAATAGACAGCTGATCCCATGACTCCACCAAGATGTCCACAGCTTTCTTGATGTTAAATATTCTCCAGAATTGTTTGAAGAGTATTTTTTGCTGTTCTAACCGTTGTTCCTCATCTTCGTCGCTCTTGCTATCGGTGGTGGTGTCACTCAGGTCACGCAACTCTTCCCTGGTGTTGGTGTAGTCGTTCAGGAGCTGGAATTTTTTTGTTGAGAATGCAGCTTTCACATTGCAAATCAACTCCTGGTCCATGGGCTGTAATATAGACGTAGTGTTGGGAGGAAGGAAGACCACTTTTACGTTGGGGTGACGATCTAACAGTAGGGGCGAGTGTCCTGGTGCGTTGTCCAGCAGCAACAAAATATTAAATGGGACATTCTGTTGCTCACAGAATTTCTTTACATCGGGAACAAAACAGTCATCAAACCAGGAGAGGGACAGTGTAGAGAACATCCATGCCTTACGTGCTGTCAGCCAGTGGACATTTAGCTTGGTCATGTCCATGGTTTTGTAGGCGTGCGGCTTGCGGGCTGTGTGGATCACCGATAACTTGAGCTTACAGGTACCGGAGGCATTGGTGGCAAACAGGACGGTGATGCGTTCCTTCTGCATTTTCCGGCCCCGAATCCTGCTGGCATTCTTCACAATGTAGGACTTGGAAGGTAGTTTTCTCCAGAAAAGACCAGATTCGTCCATGTTAAACACCTGGTCGTCGGTGTACTGTCCTTCCTCCATAATCTCACGTAAAAACGGAGGAAATTCCCGAGCCGCAGCACGATCAGCACTCGCTTCTTCACCACCAATGTTTATATTGGTGATCTTGTTCCGGATCTTAAACCTCTGTAACCACCCAGAGGAAGCAGTAAAGGGTTTGGGCTCTGAAGTTCCCATCTTTCGTGCCACTGCCATGTACAGTTCACGTGCGTAGTCCTTCACAGAGCGCGTGTCGACCGCCATGTTCCGTCGCGCCTGACGCACCAAGTACCTCACAAGTAATTTTTCTGTCTTGAGAAGCACCCGGTTGTGAAAATACTTGATCATAGAAGCACCTGTAGACTTTGTGATCTTCATGTGCTCCTTTATCTTGGCTGAATCCTTCTTTATAGTCCGGATCGTAGATTCGTTGACGCCATGCTGGCGCGCGAGATCAACTTGCCGTGTTCCTTTCTCCAAATCTTGAATAATTTGGTACTTCACCTCGTAGCTTAAGGAGCGTCGTGTCCTCTTTGGCTTAGTGCCGCTGGGTCCAGGTAAGGAAAGGTTTTTCTCTGGGGGTGGTGGTCCGGCGGAAGCCATTTTACGGAACAATGGATGCGCGTTAACACGGAGTGGCCTTGAGGGATGAGACTGTCGCGGCTAGGTCAAGCGTCGTCTCTCCTCCCTCCCTCCCTGCCCCGGGTGGACACGTCATAATACTTTAAGCCAATTACAGCTAGCAGCAGAGGAGGGTAGGGATGCATGGCCAATCACAGGTCTTGTACGTCATATGACGTCAGTGATAACACAACAAAGACACACTGTGCAACCTTACCGCGCCGCTTGCCCAAGCGGAGGGAGGAGGAGGGAGAGGCAGGCAGGCGGGCAGGCGGGTGGCGCATGGCGTGTGGGGAAAATCTAAAAATAGCGTCGCGCCGGACACACTCCGCGTAATGGCGTTCGCGAAATGTGAAAATGTTAGGTTCTGGCAAGGCACCGCGGTAACGGTGAAACGCGGAATGCGGGACCGCTTAATGTGAGGACCAACTGTATATATATACAGTATATATTTCATTAGCCCAATAAAGCACGCGGACTTCTACATATAATCAACACCTCACCCCACCAGGATTCGAACCCGTGGCCCACGACTGTGACCGGGAAACGCTACCTCTAGACCACCAGGATACTAAAAGCAGTCCAAGACTGCTTTTAGTATCCTGGTGGTCTTAGAGGTAGCATTCCACGGTCACAGTCGTGGGCCGTGGGTTCGAATCCTGGCGGTGTGAGGTGTTGATCATATATATATATATATATATATATATATATATATATATATATATATATATATATATATAATATATATATATATAATTTTTTTTTCCTCTTTCCTTTAGGCCATTGCCACTCTGTTCTTTGCAAGTCTAAATAATTTTCCTTGCCCAAATCACTACTTTCTTCTCCCAAGTTCATTTCAGTCCATATATTTCAAAGGCAACATAAAACCACTAGTGTTCTCTGTAACTTTGACCTACTCTCAGCCATAAACACCAAGTTATTTGCACTTAAGACTTTCTTCAAGTTTTCCTACTCTGTCACCTCCCCTCTCATTGATTCCATTACCATTAGAAACAAGAGAGGGCTTATGGCACTTGCCTGTCTGAGGCCTATTCCCTCTTCAAACTCTTCACATGTTTCTCTTTTCGTTTGCATGATTGCCAATATCTCTTTATACGTTGCCTCAACCATTTTTACCTTTTCTTTGGCCCAACCGTTCACTTTATAACAATTAATGTCAATACTCTCATGTCTGCATCACGTTACTTTTATTTTTTAAGATAATTTATATTTAAAACAGGTACTGCTAAAAAATGTTCCAAGTCATCCATTTGATTTGGCCATTTATGGGGACTACCTCTTCTGGACTGATTGGGTGCTACATGCAGTGGTGCGAGCTAACAAGCATACCGCAGAGGACATTGTTAAGTTACGCACCGGTGTCACACGCCTCATGGGCATCGTTGCTGTGGCTAATGACACCAATGCTTGTAAGTTGTTTTATATCTATTTACAGTATTATAAATAAATTTTTACTCTTTAGAAACTGCAGCTGTTACTATGGGAAACTTTTCTTAGTTAGTATAGAGTACTGGGAGTCTGTTATGATGCTGTAAACCTCTGTAATTTCAGAGTAATTGAAGGGAAGATTATGTTAAAAACAATTATTCCAAAACTGAAAAAAAAGCTTATTTGAAAACTTATTTTGTTAGACTTACACATGGGCATTAATCTCATACCTGCCTCATGCTCAAGTAACCACCCAGTGCCATGTTTTCTATAGTATCTAAAGATAAGGTATTTATGCACTTGAATTAAAGTTTCCTTTCACTGGCCCTAGTTCCCCTCCCATATTCCACTCCCAGTCCTTCTCTTGAGTGGAAATAGGAAATTAAGTTAGATAATTTCTTCGTGTCGTCACTTTCAGATTGTTCAAATTATAATATCAAAATAATTCTCAAATGTCATCTTGATGAGTAAATGATTTGTTCTTTGCCAGAAATGGAGAATCGATTAAAAAATCTCCTTTCCTGGTTGAGCTCTTTGCCAGATGGCTCAGATTCTCTCCTTCATACTTAATTAGGATACTTTAGTGATTATAAATGACCAGTAATTCTTAACTTTGTACTAACTGATTAACATCTTGATGCAGGTGATGCAAGCCCATGTCGGGTTCTGAATGGAGGCTGTGAAGATATTTGCACCCTGGATGAGTGGGCTCAGGTTATTTGTCGCTGCTCTCCGGGCCGTATGCTTCTGGGAGATGGACGCCGTTGTGCTGTGCGTGTAGCCAACTGTACATCAGATCAGTTTGAATGTAGCAGTGGCTTTTGTATCCCCTATATTTATTCTTGTGATGGAGTACCTGAGTGTCCTGATGGCTCTGATGAGGATGAAAAATATTGTGGTATGTTCATTAATATTTTTGTTTAGTTAGTGAGATACACATTAACTATCATTTTACTCTATATTCACTCTTTCAAGCCTTTTCCAATTAAAATGAAGGATGACTGGAACAAAAAGAAACAATCTTTTGATATCTTTCACTCATTCTTACTGCTGAAATTGATATGTTGTGTGATTTTCCATCTTCACAATAGTGCCCTAAATAACTGTTTAGTCGACTAGGAATTGTAATTTTTTGGTCTGAATTTCACACGAGAATAGTGTCATGTGCATACATCAGCTAACTTACTTTTGTTTTCATTCCATATTATTTTTCACCAGACTTGTACCTGTCTACATTACTCTTGTTTTCTCATCTGTTTCCACCACATCCATGAAAAATAGTGAACATTTTTAGGAATCAGTTTTTATTTATTATTCCTTGATGGGGGAAATTTATAAATGCAGTAATATTAACAGTACGCTGTATTTCCTCTCCATAGTAAGCCGCACCTGTCGAGAGGGCTACTTCACATGTGGTAATGGTCCCTGCGTACCTCAGGAAACTGTTTGTGACAGGAATGCTAACTGCCCCAACTTCAAAGATGAGAATGACTGTGAATGTAGGGATGATGAAATCAGGTGTGAGACTTCTGGTCTCTGTATTGCATCTTATCTCAAGTGTGACAATGATCCAGATTGTCCTGATGCAAGTGATGAAATGGGGTGTGGTAAGTAGATTATATTACAACATGTAATTGTTGATGCTGTAATTGTAGTACATCATAAGGTTAAATCATCAGGAAGATCTTATTTAGATATAACTAGATTGTTTCTTATGAGTTAAATCCCAGTAATCACATACCTGTCTTAAGCATCTTCCTCCTAGCTCTGTAACGTAGAGTCTTTGGGAGCAGGAGGAGTCTCTTTTTTCCAATTTAGAATTTTGGTTCTGGAGAGAAAAGTGTCACACCTTTAGTCTTGCCTAAGGAAATGTTTTAATAAATAAATAATAACAGATTATACTTTTTCTCCTCCAAATATTAAAAAAAATATACAACATATACTGCAGATGAGAAAATTTAATGGGTTTTGTAAATTTGCTTTCAGAGAAGCCTGATTGTACAGCTGTGGTATGGGATGGTTTCAACAGCTCAGAGCTGATCAACTGTGTCAATACTACCAACTGCATTCATCCAAAGTGGATTTGTGATGGTGCTAATGATTGTTGGGACAACTCAGATGAGCAGAACTGCACCACAAGTAAGCAAGTTTTATTTGTTAGGCTCTTTTTGAATACTGGTGCCATAATATAATGTGTGTTACCAGACATTAGCATGAGTTTGTTTTGAAAGTGAATTTAGTGTTAAGAAAGGGAAGGATTTGTTTTTAAGGATACAAAATACAGAATTTCTGTACTCAGTGATGACACTTCATGAATATTCAATACTCTTCAGAAAGACTGGCATGATAAGTTCTGCATTCTATTTCACATGAAACAATGTTTGCTTTAGAAGGTAGGATGGAAATTTCTGCTCACAGGTACAGTATTATGTCAAATTACTGGACATCTGCATAACTGGGATGTCATAAGACCAAAATTGGGATTGTCTAGTAATACCGTACAGTTTATCCAAAATAATTTAACTCTGAAACAACAGTGCCTCAGCAGAGTTAACATTATATACTGTTAAACTATTGGTGGTGTTGATGCCTCAATGAAGCGTGACAAGTTACAAGGCCGTGATATTTTATTTTTTTTTAAATGTCCTTTTGTAAATAGTAGAATTTTCATTCTGAAAATATGTATAATATTGATTATTATTTTGAAACAATAAAATTTCAAGAATAGTGTAGAAAGAGTGTGAACATTTGAATATACAGTAATGTGAAAGTAAGCAGATATTCCTTGTATAGTATGCTTCTTTTCACCAAATTTTCATGTATACTGTATTTTTGTTGTTTCTACTTTATTTTGTCAAGTGATTTAATGATATTAGTAAACAAATGCTGTGGATGAATATTAAGAAAATTCCACTTAACCATTACACATCACTAAACTAATCAACAAATCAGAAAGTGTGTTACACTGATGAGCTGTAATGTGTTGCTCAGGGCTGTGGAGTCGAAGACAAAACCTTCGACTCCGACTCCTCAAATTTTTATGCTTCCGACTCCGACTCCTTGGCCTATTTGTAACAACTATTTCTACCATCCTAATTGTAATTTGTATGTTGTAACCTGCGTAGGTAAAAAGTAAAACACCGTGGCTATACTGCTACAGCTTTATTAATGATCTGGACGATATTTAAGAACTACAAAAAGATGATAGGCTTGACTTTCAAAGTTTCAATCAAAAGAAAAATAAATTTATTAAGAATTCAAGATATTAACTAGAAAACACCATTTACATGTATATCTAAGAGTTCGATCTCAGCATATGAATTTTGTTTAAGCTCATAATCTGATGTGGATCTAAATGATGATCCTACAATTCCTTTTAAAGTAAAGTTATATATTTATGTACATTAAAGAAATGAATACCTTATTAAGGAAAATGGATAAACCTTACATGATTAAGTTATTAAATTAAATTTGCCTTAATCTCACCAAAAACAGGTTGTAGCTAATTGTTTTGTAGCTGAGAGCCTCTGTGCAGTTTTCAACGAAACAAAATTTGATATAATTCAAAATTTCAAATGGTAAAGAAGAGACTATCGTCCAAAATTATAGTGCTATACTGTGCCTGCTACAATAAATTCATAATAATGCTTATAAAATGGAAATAAATTCTTTTAATAATTTAAGAAAATTAGTGGGATCAGTGGAATCACTGCAATGAATATGCCTGAGTTCATATATTTGTTCTTAGGAACAGAATAGCTTCAGTCAGATCTTCCTTCATGGAAGCCCTTAAATCTGATCTGATTATTTTCAGTGCAGAAAACAGTCTTTCTACACTGACCTGAGTGGGTGGCATTGCTGTCACAGCTCTAGCTACATCTTTAACAATCTCGGGTAAGCAGGTATGGCTTCTTCCACTGTCACTTTTGAAGACCGGTCAAATTTCTCCACTTCCATCAGTGCACCAAAGAAATCTTGCTGAAATCTCGTATTTTTAATGTCTACCGCTGCTGCGGTCGGAGTCGGAGTCGGAGTCTGGACAATTTTACCGACTCCGACTCCGACTCCACAAGCCGAAATTTCCTCCGACTCCTCGACTCCGACTCCGACTCCACAGCCCTGGTGTTGCTCATAGATTAGATTTTACCACATTTTGGAAGGGGTAGAGCAACTTTTGTGCTGAAGTACTGCAGTCTTATTTTGCTGGAATTTCCACTGTTGCAGATAGTCCTATCCAATGATCAGTCCAGAATAAGTGATGTACTACTGTATTTCTGTAGTGTATGAAGAAAATTATGCAGTGAGAAATTAAACTTGTAGAAACAGCAAGGGTTACATTTAAGGGTAGTATGTTTCTCTCTGCAAAGAACTTATATTACAGTGTTCCTGAACTCTTCTTAACTTCACAAACAGTATTGTATGTCAGGCTTATGTAGTGCACAAGTTTGCCGATATGCTGCATTTATATCTTGATGTTTTCTCTTTATTCTATGTCTGAACTTGATGGGGTGATGGACAACAACTTATTGGACACCTTCCAAACCTTTTATTCAAAATCTGATCTTTGCTTTTGTCTTGTTAACCTTCCTCAACCTTTGCTGTCTTGGCTAATGTTACACTTCTACATATTTTAATTATTTATGACTTGTTATTAACTTCTGTATAACTTTTTTTCCTATTTTATTTTCATGGATGATCTGCATGGTCTTTTATTATACCTGTTTGAATGGTACAAATGTGTTGAAGGTGAGGATGGCATGTGTCCCTTTGGGATGTTTTTGTGTGACATAAGTCGATGTTTACCTACTTCTTGGCGCTGTGACTGGGAGGTGGACTGCTCTGACATGACTGATGAGCTTGACTGTTGTAAGTGTGAAGAATTTGTGATACAGGTGGTAGCTTATGCTCTTATCACAAGTCGAAAATTGCTGCTATGTTTTTCTGAACACACTCTCTGTTAAGTTGATATAGTGTAATAGAATTTTAATTTCCCCTTGAGCACTGCCCCCTTTGCCTGTGTAAGGTTTTGCTTGCAGATATTAATCACATGCTGTAGCTATTGCATACTTAGATACACTTGTCCACATTCACTATCTTCTTAATTTTTCATCTCCTCTCTTTACCAATTACCTGTATCAACATCACTTTTGCATATAATCAGCATGTCTCAAATATTGTAAGGCCAGACTGGGGATTCTCCAGTGATTACATTACAACCAAAATAACACTAGAATACTGTAAATAACAAAGGAGCAAACATACATAAGTTCTGTTGTGAGGCTGTACAGTGTGCACTTGTCTGCAGTGTATTTGCACAATAAAATCCTGAAAATTTAAAGTATATCAGGACCGTGTATAATGATAGGTTAAACCAAGCTCACTGCAAGTCAGTCCTTCAAATCCAATGCATGGTTCTGTACTCATATTATTGAAATTGAATATTACAAGTACAGTAAAAGTCCAAAAATCCGGATGCCAGGAATCGGGACCACCCGAGAATCCGGACTTTTCGAAAACTCAAACTTTTTAAATTTAGTGGGCTTTTGTGGGTTACGTGAATGAATGGAGTTGCTTTAAAAAATTAATTTACATACAGTTGGTCCTCATATTACGCGGTTAATGTAACCCAGAGGGTACCGCGGAAAGTGAGAAACGCGTAAAGTGAATAACATAACATATGGGATTAATTGAAATGGAGTCCGGGCCGATCCCCAAACTCCACTTTTTGACGACACACAACTATGTTGTAGTAAAAATATTATCTTAACTTTATGATGGCATGCACACACAATTAATAATTAAGAGAAATATCAATAATATTAGGTTTTTTAACACTTACATTAGTAGAAAAGATGGCTGGGCACACGGGGATGGGCGGTTGGTTCCGAGGCAGAGGGCAGATTATTGGCCCTCACCTGTATCACTTGTATCAATTGTATCACTATCCACCACAGAGGCTTGCAGGGCCTCTTTGTCAAACCCCCAAAGTTCATATAAGTCCATATCCTCACTATAATTATCACTATCACTGACTTGGGCCGGCTGTAGTGGGTGGCGGGTGAAGAACTGGTCATGTTTTGATGACTGGGCGACCTTGTGCGCACCATTTTCGCGCCTCTTACACAACATGGCGGATGGCGGGAGGTTTGGATCCAAAAATGGCGCGGCTTGCCAGCCGCTCTCCGCGTAATGGGGTTCACGACCGCGGAATGTGAAAATGTTAGGTTCTGGCAAGGCACCGCGTTAACGGTGAAACGCGGAATGCGGGACCGCGTAATATGAGGACCAACTGTAATTGTAATAATATAAGTAATTGTAAATTATAGGTAGCTAATTTTGTTAGTTTTGTAATTAGCTTGAACTGAAATGTAAAATTTGAGGCACTATAAATCTTTTGTGTGTATGTGTGCATGCGTGAATGCCTCAGCTGCACAGCGACAACAAACGACCACGCAATCGCCACTTTAAAACAAGCAATCAAACTGTGACAACATATGTAATTTTGAGTCCTACTCTTTCCTTGTAAAGAGTACAAGCCCATAATAATGGCCCCTAAAGTAGATAAACTTCGTTGTGTGAAGAGAAAGAAGAACACATTGAAATTGAGTGACAAACTTGAAATAATTTAGAAACTAGAACGTGGTGTGAGCAATGCTGTTCTAATGGAAACATACGACATTGGAAAGTCTACAATTTATGATATAAAATTCTAGAATTCACAGCTTCTTCTGAGCCTTACATTAAAATTGCTGAAAGAAATAGTTTACATTGGCCCAAATTAGAAAATCTTGATAAAGTGTTGCACGAATGCTTTTTGTTAAAACGATCAGAAGGTATGGCAATTTCTGGGCCGATGCTTATTGCCAAAGCAAAGTCTTTTAAGGAGCAAATGAACATTGAATCAGAGTGTGCATTTAGTGATGGATGGCTTAGGAATTTCAAGACTCGTCATGGTATTAGACAGTTTGTTTACATTTTTGTCTAGTGTTGACTTTATTTTTCTTTAAAACTGCTCGTTTTGATAAATGAAGCATGCTATATTTGCTTATGAATAAACTATCAAAATGTACCTGTTCATCTCTTCTTTATTCCTCCTTAAATTTTAATTTTAAAAGTACTGCCTGAGAATCCGGAAAATCCGAAAATCTGGACCGACCCAATCCCCAAGCAGTCCGGATTTTTGGATTTCTACTGTATTGGGGTTTGAGTCACTTTTAGAAATTGGTTTGGTTTATTTGGGTTAGTTAGTCATAGTGAGGTTTGTGACCCTAACCAAACCAAACTACTGTATATAACTAATGTAAGTTTGTCCCATCTGAGTCCAGGTCTGTTGTGTGAATTTTTAAAGCCTCTCAGTAATACTTTTTCCCTTTGTAAATGCATCGGTGTTATTCATATAAGCCTTTTTATCAAGACATTTTCCTTCAGTAACTGTACCAGTGGAAACCTCCTTGTGTCCATCTGGCACTCACCAGTGTCGCAATGGACGGTGCATAGCCACTTCGTTCATATGTGACGGTGACAATGACTGTAAAGATGGCAACATCACAACACCATCAAGCGATGAAGCTTCATGCAACTACACCTGCCCTTCTGGTAAGATATTGATACTTAAATTTTGTGCTTCAGAAAAAGTTAATTACAGTATTGTGGTACTGTACTGTATTGCTATAAAATTCATACTAACAAATAATGATGAATGTTATAACCATCTTATGTTCTCTTCATCACTGAGGATGTAATAAACTCTCTTCCTCAGATCAGTTTACATGTGCTGATGGAAACTGTATTCCTAGCATTTGGCTTTGTGATGCCCACAAAGACTGTATTGATGGATCAGATGAACCAGACAACTGTGGTAATTAATTATATTTGTTTTTACTAATTGCTTATGAATGAATAAATAACATTTGATACATAAATTAGTAAGCAAACATGAAAATTTAGGATCCTGTGTTTTGTGAGATGATGAGTTCATATCTTAATGAGGGTGAAAAATGCACACATTCACATATCGGTCTGTTGTCACACCTGTTTGTTTTACGTTCACATCTTTGTTATTACATTTGTACAAGTATATGTTACGTTTTTTTTGCAAAATCGGTTATTTTGCAAAATTCCTGGCATGCATGCTGATAATTTTGCGAAATAACTTACAAACAGACAACCTAAACTAACCTAACCTTATGGTTAGGTTAAGTGAGAGGTTTGGTTAGGTTAGGATGGCTCGTGTAGATTGATACACAGTTAAGTGGTCCTGTTCTATTTTTGTGTGTGTGTACTTTGGCTAGCCTGTTTGTAAGTTATTTTGCAAAAAAAAGTTGTAACATATACACACTTGGATTTATAATCATATCCATGAGTTTTTCTGTGCAGCTTTTGGTGTCTGTATTTAGCTTTGGGTGACAGCCTTAGTACAGTATAATGTATGTGATAATGATATACAGTGTAGTGGCTCTCAGCTACAGAAAGCATAATCAAACAATGTATGTCATATTCATCATGTACAGTACTGCTTATAGTAATGTGTCATTTTGTTAACCTTTGATATTCATCACTAAATTGTGTTGTTTCCAGAAACCAAAAAATGTGAAGATGATCAATTTAAATGCAATACTACTGGACGTTGCATCCCTCAGAAGTGGGTGTGTGATGGTGACAATGACTGTGGTGAGGGAGCAGCAGATGAGAACCCCCCAGATGGTTGCCCTCTGCCTGTTGGCATATCATGTCCACCGGGACAGTTTATATGTCCATTATTTAACCAGTATGAGCATCGCTGCCTTCCTGCGGTAAGATTCCTTTGCTGTACCTGTATAATTTTATTTCACACACATGTGAATCTTTGTGAAAATACCATATTGCAAACCTGGTCATAATAAATATATATATATTTATCTATATATATATATATATACAGTGACCCCTCAGTTAACGAACTCAATCTGTTCCAGAAGGTCGTTCGTTAACCGAAAATTTCGTTAACCGAAACCATTGTTCCAATGGGTTTTTGGGTAATTGGTTCCAGCTCACCGAAAATTTCCTAAATTCAACAAAAATGGTAGAAAAGTTCACTTACTTTGAGATGTGTATGTAGAAGGCTCCTGGATGATGATGATGGTGATGATGATGGGATTTAGAATGGGGGTGGAGGAGAAGGAAGAAGAGAAGGCATTGGGGTGGAAGAGAAGTCACCCCATGGCGCCATTTCACCCATAAAATTTTAGCTCTCTTGGTGTAATTCAAGATTATTTTCTTTAAATCAACACTGTACTGCATTATATATTGTCAATATGTAAAATATATTTCAAAATGACCAATAATTTGCTTGGAAACACAGGAAAAAAAGCGTTTAGTTGAAGAGGGTCTCAAGCAAGATGTTACCACCAGTGAAAACAGAGAGAGACTAACTCCTGTTTGCTGTGTTAAGAGGCTGGATGCCGCGCATTAAACTAGTCACTTTACCTTCAATTATGTTCAATAATTGTTAAAATGACTAAAAAATTGAATATTTTAAAATTATTGAATAGTATAAACTTCTTGATATTTACTAAAATAGTAAGGAATTTAAGCCCTAGAACCGATTAATGTATTGGGGGACTGATACTTAAGCTGGTTGCCCGGTCAGTGCAAGCGAAAACTTGTTGAGGTCGGTTCGTAAGAACTTCGTTAACCGAATGTTTTTTTCGTTAACCGAATTGAAGATCCTTATGGAAGGCAGTTCGTTAATCGAAATTACGTTAACCGAGGTGTTCGTTAAACGAGGGGTCACTGTATATATACTGTGTATATATATATATATATATATATATATATATATATATATATATATATATATATATATATATATATATATATATATATATATATATATATATATATATATATATATATATATATATATATATATATATATATATATATATATATATATATATATATATATATATATATATATATATATATATATATATATATATATATATATATATATATATATATATATATATATATATATATATATATATAAATATAATATAATATAATATAATATAATATAATCAGTTCTAATCTGTTAATATTTTCTACTACTCATTTATTAGATGTTCTTTTCTTTTGTAACAGGAGTACCATTGTGATGGGCATGAAGACTGCTGGGATGGTAGTGATGAACCTGAATCCTGTCCACCTCTTGTGTGTCTAGATTCCCAGTTTAAATGCAATACTGGCCAGTGCATTCCTTCTGTTTGGGTTTGCAATGGAAGAATTGACTGCAGTGACTCTTCAGATGAAGCCAATTGCAGTGAGTAACAGATATGTGTTTTGTTTCTAAGTCAGGATTCTTTTAAGATTAATTAGGTAATATGTAGGGCAAACATAAACGATTGTCAATAAACATACTAAGTAAATGGGATGGAACAGGTCCTCTAACCCTCTCATAAGAAGTTAAATGTATAACACACACAAGTACTGTATTGTAGAAGAAGGAACTCAAGAAAACTGAAATGATTTAATTGACTGTCCGTTCCACTTGATTGAAACAAGAACATTACAACTGGACCAGAAAAAGCCTGATGGGTGAGTTATGTTCTTCTTTACCCATTGGTGATTATGTAAATGATGAAAAAATCTAATGTATTTTCAACAACGATATAAGTAATTTCTTCAAATAGCGCCATATTGTACAAATCAACAGCTTATGCTCTTTGTCTTTCTTCCTATTTCATTTCTTTGAGTCTCTTTCACTATGAAAATTTCACTGGAAATGAGCATCTGTTGTGGTTTTGTTCGATGTCCTTGCTTGTATTCCTTACTGTTTACCACTGTTTGTATTCCCGCACTGTCTAGGTACATTGTTTGTGCTGCTGTATACCAGCATTGTCTATAAACATTGTATAACTGCATTGCTATACACCTGCTGACTTGTATACCTGCATTGCTATTATACATGCTGAACTATATACCTGCATTGCGATGTACATGCTGATTTGTATACCTGCCTTGTCTATATACATGCTGCATCATTGTCTATATACATGCTGCATCAATGTAAACTTGTATGGTACTCTTACTGAATAAATATCTATCTCTATCTATCTGTCAATCTATCTATCTATTTATCTATGTGCAATTATATGTATTCCCACTCATCCCAGATGCTGATTAGACTCTCCGTGGGCTGCACCTCTTTCAGTATTCAGATCCTTTAACTTACATTTCAGACTCCCAAGCATACTGTATACTGTACTGTAGTCTTAACAAGCATCTTCTCCATTGTCATGCCTCCATGTATGCTAATGGATTTTTTCTTCTTTTTAATCATATATTCCTTGTGATCAATCTTCTCTGTCTTCACACATTGCATGCCATGAGCCTCTTTCCATCACTGTTTATTCCTGGCTGGTACTCCATATGAGCCTAAAATCCCCATCACCTCTTTTCCACCCAATCTTGCATTTAAATCTCTCGTCACTTATCACTCGTCTCTCACAGTAAAGCTCTCCAGGTCTTCCTCCTTGACATTCCTCACTCTTTGGACATACCCTGTACTCATTCACAGTAACTCCCTCTCTCATACTCCAGTTTTATTATGATCATAATGTTCTAAGATCTGCCTCATTATACAATGTTCCATCACACAACTACGCATTCTATCTTCCATCCATACCACCACTGTCACTTCCTCAGATACTCCTGATTTATTCCTATCACTAGTTCCCACCTTACAAAATCAAGCTGTTTCATATACTGCACTGTACTGTACTGTACTGTACCCAACAAGTTTATGTGGCAGGAAGTGAGAAGATGAATAAATTTGAAAATTGCATTATCCCTTACCATCACACTGGGCCACCAGAGGATAACCCTTTGGCATGAAGGTTTCCTAAGAAGGGTGACAGCTGAAGAGTTTTGTTATCAGTCATAAACATGTACAGTCTTGGATAAAAGCTCTGTCAGTCCTCCGTCCCATCTGTGAACCCCTTGGCTCATGAACCTGTGATTCCGAGACATCATACAGTGTGACATCTATGGATCCAACAATATGTGATGTCTTGGATTCAAAGGTTCATGAGTCAAGGGGATTTGTTTTCATGTTTGTCATTGGCTATAAAACACTGTACGTCAGGAACAAGCCTTTACATCCAGTCACACCTCTGCACAGTGTAGGTCTGTTAAGCTGCTCTGACATTACGAAGGATAAAGTTTTTCTTGTGATTTTAGATGCTTATAGCATAATTGTAGTGCTGTCACAATCGTAGGGATTAGTTATATGCATTTTATTGATTTATATTGTGTTGCAAGAGTGTTTACTTTGCTTGACAACCCAGGTAAGTAGTTGGATAACAAGGTGATAACAGGACTAACACCTCCAAGTATTTTCCAGTGCAAAGAGATAATGTTTTATTTTTTGAGGTAATAGTGAAACAAATGTGGTGTCTGGCCTAAGGCTAATAAAAGGGCAAGTCAAATCCTGGGAAAGAGCTGATTTGGCATGGAATTTCAGATCAGTTTCACTTAAGGTCTTTACACTGGGTATCCCCCCTCAGGGTTTATCAGATATGCACATAATACTATTGGGGGAGGGGGGATTTATTACGTAATCCCTTACACTTGTTATTTGAACATATTAGAATCTTTTAGGGGAATTTTAAAGCCAGCTATTAGAATCAGTGGGATCAATTAGATTATTTCTATTGATGTACAGTATTGACATTATAACAGTTTATTTAGGCAGAAATATACAGATACAAAGTAAACAATAACAACACTATTGACATGGCTGTTATCCATCCTAATTGTCCTTGGTTCTGGTCCACCCATCTGCCTAGTAGCAGCTTTCTTCCCACCAGGGCCTCCACCAAAGTCTATTATCTGGTTAATATGCTCTATAAGGAGAGGTCTCAGAGGCACATCCTGCTACTCCAGTTATTATTGGTCCTTTGAAGTCAGGGTGAGGAAGGGTGGGTGTGAGTGGGGTAGGGTGGGTCTGGGTGTGGGTGAGATAGTGTGGGGTGGGTGTGGGTGAGGTAGGGTGGGGTGGGGCTGGTTGAGGTAGGGTGGGGTGGGTCAGGGTGAGATAGTGTGGGGTGGGTGTGGTTGAGATAGGGTGTTGTGGGTGAAGTGGGGCAGGTATAGTTTGGGTAGGGTGGAGTGTGTGTGGGTGTGGTTGGGTGGAGTGGGTGCTCGTGAAGTGGCGTGGTTTATATTTGTGTAGAGAAAGGATGGATGAAGGAAGACTAGAGGTGGGGGAAGGAAATTATAGTTCGGAAATTGAAGAAATTCAAGAGGTAAGAGAGGGCGGGCTGACCGTCTAGCTAAGCTAATAGTGTGTTAGGGTTGTGTCATGGGTCAGTTATTGTCTGTCGGTACAGGCACGAGACATCGATGGGTTTGGGTGTGGTAGGGTGGAGTGGGCCAGGGTGATGTAGGGTGGGTTGCGTTAGGGTGGGGTGGGGTGGGGTGAGGTAGAGCGGATTGGGCCAGGGTAAGAAGGTATAGGGGGGGTTAACCAGGGTGAGGTGGATGGGCTGGGCTGGGTTAGTTGGGGACAGGGTGAGGGCAGTGTGTGGGCCAGGGTGGGTTGGGATGAAGTAGGAGGAGGTGACGAGTGGGCCGGTGTTAAGATTCCATTTTGTTTTTTGTAGAGAAAGGAGGGTGAAAGAAGATTAGAGGTGGGGGAAGGAAATTATAATTCGGAAATTGAAGAAGTTTAGGAGGAGGTAAGAGAGGGCGGGCTGACCGCCTAGCTAAGCTAATAGTGTGTTTGGGTTGTGTCATGGGTTAGTTATTGTCTGTCGGTACAGGCACTAGACATCCTACCCTGTCCCATATACTGTATGGGTGTTTTAAGGGCCTTATTTCATTATTCCGCCCACCCTACTGGCGGATGTTGGTCTAGGGAGGTTGTCTATTGCCTGGCCGTGTAGATCGGGGATGGTAATGGACCTTTTGAGATTTCGAAGCTTTTTGGGAACCATGTATGGTTGTTGTCGTTATCTGGTGGGAGTCTTTGAAGGAGTTCTTGCTCTGATCGTTCTATCTTTTGTCAGATTCTGCTGGCCAGGGTGTGCAGCTGCTGGTTGATGGGTTTCATTCTCAGGTCTCTATGTATCTCGGCTGTGGTTCTAGTGAAGGGGTATCTTTCACCTGTGACGAATCTTAGGGCTTCATTTTGGACCACCTGTAATTTTAATATTTGAGTGGTGCTTGCAGTATGAAGAGGTTCTGCTGGGTAAGTTAATATCGGTATGATAAATGATGTCACCAGGCGGAGTTTTATTTTCTCAGGAAGCGCTTTAAAGCGGTATAGTGTAGTGCGAAGTGGGTTGGGTCAGTTATAGGGCAGGGCGGGGCAGAGGGCAGCGTGTGGGTGGGATGAGGCGGAGTGGGCCATTGGAGGTCATTGAGTGGAGTGTGTCAGGGTGAAATGGGGTGGAGTCAGCGCTTGGGCCAAGCAGTGGAGAAACGGGATAGGCAAAGTAAGGGCAGTCATTGGACCAGAGTGGAACAGGTGGATCTGGGCCCCAGGGTGGCCAGGGGCGGCGGACAGAACTTAAACCAGGGTGGGGCGGGTGGGTCGAGCCAGAGGAGGGTCAAGTGGCCGGGGAAGACAGAGGGTGGGGAGAGGGGCGGGTTGAGAGAGGGCCAGGGGAGGACAGCGCGTGGGCCAGGGTGGGTGGCAGGCAGAGGCAGTAGTGATGAAGAGAGTGGAGGAGGTGGTCGTGGTGTAGAAGTGTCTGCGAGGAAGAACACCAGTCGCCGTGTGGTGAGGTTACCGCGACTCGCTGAACAACATTCACACTCTTCCTCACGTCATGCATGGCGCCCGCCGCTGACATGACTATGTGTTGTGCCGGAAAAATTACACGTAAATGACCGTGCCACGAATGATGAAGTGATCCCTGGAGGAACACGAGTGCCAGTGTGTCGGCGCCAATCTTCGTGACCAGAGTGATGGAAGGGTGTGGTTGTGTAGTGATTTTGTGTAGCGGCACTCGCGTGTAGTGGGTATGTGGGGGGAGGTTTACTGGGGATTGATTTGTAGGGGGTATTCGTTTGTTGGGTTGGTATGCGGTGGGATATTTTTGTGGCCATGTGGGTTGGATATGTGACGTTTGATATACTGTTGGCGGATGGGCATTCTTGTGTAATGGGATTTAGGAGATCGAGTGAGTGAGTGTGCCTGGGTTAGGAATTATGTGGTAAAATTTTCAACGACAAAACCATGTTATGAGGGCTGTGGGTGGTCTGTTATTTACAGGTGGTCAGCTGGGGTAAGGTGAGTGGAGCTGCCATGCCAGG